TGATGGGGATAGTGGGACAACTTCACTTGTTTAGGACCATCATGCTTTCCCCCTAAGTCACTAATGTCCCCTTCTTGTTTGTGGAAGCTGGTTGTTGCATCCTCATCACCTTCATGGTCCTGTCTCTCTCCTGTCTCTTGCCTGTCAGTCTCACCTCCTCCTCCCTTTCCTACTCCAGCACCTTCATTCTCATTCTCTACAGCAAACATTAAAAAAACGTAAATTTATAATTATGTAAATATCTATCATATTGCTTATAACGTCCCTAATGTAACTGCTTAGCTTAAATCACTAATTCATTACGGGACCTTACCTCCCTCTCTCTCATCTTGTTTTACTGCTTCCCTGTCTCTACTTCGTGTGAGGAATTTCCTGATATCCATCTACAAACCAATGCAGTCATTTTCAGTTAGTAGCCTATAAATCATGTGGTTTCACTGGGAAAATAATAAAATTGACAGGTAAGAAACGTTACCAGAACTAAAAATGCGTCGTGGCCGCACACTGTCCCATCCAACTCAGTTGAGAGCAGCGCGTTAATTTACCTGCAGTTCATGCAGTGACATGCGCTGACGTGGGGGCGCTAATATATCCTCAATTTGGAGTTACCAACACACTTGCTGCGCATTTGAGTAGAAATATACGTCTCCTTCCGTTGGAATTATCTAAATTGATGCATTAAAAAAATGTAATACTGTTGCAAATATTCATGAGATTTATACTGGGGCACAGCTCATTTATACTGGGGCACGTGCCCCAGTAAATGGGGTCTGGCGACGCCGATGGTTGATATACTGGCAGATGACTCCAGGTTTAGCTACTTCAGAAAATGTCCCATCTTGGCTAACAATAGAACATAGCTCAGTTTCAAAATCATCTCTTCAGGCACTTCTTTTTGCATCACCAAGACCCCGGACCTCTACACGAGGAGAACATTTTATCATACAGCAATGTGAGAAAATTTGGTTACAGATTCGAAAATATTGCCAACTTCCTAATCTGTCCATTCATGCTCCAATATGGCATAATCATGCATTTCCTCCGTCGTTTACAGATGCTGTTTTTAGAGAATGGTCCAGTAAAGGTATAGTGTCAATCAAAGACGTATATATGAATAAAAAATTCTGTTCTTTTGAACAATTAGAAGCAAAATACAGTCTACTTAAGAGTCATTTATTTAGATTTTTACAATTAAGAAATTATGTTAGGGATAATTTGCCAAATTTTGACTCTCTCCCTTTGGATAATGATTTGTTCAAAATCATGCTCGGCCCACCAGAGTCCCAGGGTTTAATTTCCTCATTGTTCCGCTATTTTTTAAGTAAGTCTGAATGTTCAACTTTAAATATAAAGCAAAAGTGGGAGGAGGATCTCAATATTACAATCAAAGACGATGTATGGAGCAGAGCACTGGGTGACATACATTATTGCTCAGTGAACTCAAGATTGCAAGTAATACAATATAAAGTAGTTCATAGGTTACATTACTCAAAAACAAGGTTAAACAAAAGTTTCCCACAAACATCACCTCTCTGTGACAGATGTAAAATATGGGACAGCACATTAGCACATCAATTTTGGCTTTGTCCAAATATTCAAAGTTTCTGGACCTCAATATTTGAATGGTACTCTCGCGCCCTTAAAGTTAACATAAAACCCGATCCAGAAACAGCCCTCTTTGGTGTCTCGGACACTCTTAACAAATTGGGTCGTGATGTTACAACAGTGGTCTCCTATGGCATGATGATAGCCAAAAGATGCATATTAAAGCAGTGGAAGGCTGACAGACCACCTAATGTTGAATCTTGGATCAAGGAATTTACAGGAATCTTGCACATAGAAAAAATTTGATTTGATTTAATAAACTGTCCCCAAAAATACTACAAAATTTGGAAACCCATTCTAGAACAATTTAAGCCATAAAGAACCCCTATCCTCCCCTCTTTTCTTTGTTCTACTTTATCTCATTTGTTATGAATAAAGGTGTGGACAATCCTAATTGATTGTTTGAAACTCCATAAAGTGTGTTTTTTTACTTTCAGTATGTCCAAAGTGTAAATGAACAAATAATTTTTATATAATATTATTTATTGTGTGTCTAATGCTTTTTTGTTGTCGTTTTTTTTTTTTGTTTTTTTTTTTTTTTGTGACAAATGCTAAAGGATTCACTAAAGGACATTAATCATTGTCATGTTTTCGTTATATACCTGTAGAAAATTCTATAAAAATAAATATAAAAAAAAAAAAAAAAAAAAAGAAAATGTTTCTACTGCTGCTCCCCGACTTTCACCCACTGTATCTATCTGTAGATATCAAATTTAGAAGCCATTGAAGACGCTGGATTGGAATAAGGTGTCTGTCCCACAGTTCTTAGGGCCTGTAGGGGCGTGTTTGGGAAGATCTCCTGCCATGTTCCAGCATCAAGAAAAACTCAACTGAAGGTTCTACGCAGTTATAGATTTGTTGCCTCACATCACACATAATGAAGGTCCAAGAGAGACTCTAGTTTGTTCAACTGATTAAGCAAACAAGCCACTTTTAGGACCCCCTGCGCTTTGCCTATATCCATGGAGTTGGAGTTAAAGATGCTACCTGCTTCAGCAAACTTACTGTCACTTAGACACGGCAAACAGCTCAGGAAGGATAGTGCTGTTTAATTTTTTCAGAACATTTACTATAATTTTCTTTCCCTTCAATGTTCTCATAGAAGGCTCTGGGGAGGAATCACTAGAACTCAGGAGTTGATGCAGATTGGTTCATTTAAATAAAATCAGTTAATCCTTTATCTCGGCAAGCAGTCTCCTTACAGTGAAGCATTGCAGGACGGACGCGCTCGATTGAATGGGTGTATCAATTGCCACCATTTGACAGTCTGATTGTTCTGTTGTACAAATTGAGCACACGTCTGTTTATGTCTGCTTAATCACAATTAAATGTTTTTTGTCTTTTTTCGTCAACTCTGACCATCCTCTTCATTACAGTTTCATGCAACAACAGAGAGTTGTCAGTAAAAAGGCTCCACCAGATCTGCTGTAAGATGGGCCACTATAGGAGATCCTTGCTGATTAATAGTCAATGAAGAAATCCATAAAATAAAGGTTGTAACAACGTTAAATTTTAGTTTTTTTGTTTTATTTCAGATTAAGTATATCTACGTTGAAGAAAACAAATCTATGAAATAATATGACGATAGCAGCGGCACGGTGCCAGGCAGGTGGCTTTTGTAAACAAAGCGGTGGGTGTGTCTCGGACCATGGATCCCAAAGGGAAAACAAGGAAGATAGCTGAAGAGAACAGAGGATTCAGAACGTGACGGTGACGGTATGCCCACCCCCGACTGCCTGGCAAAGTAAGGCAGGGGGAAAGCACGGGGCCACCGGTGTCCAGGCTACAGTTACCGGGTTGGGTTGGTCACTCTGCTGCCTTGTAGTCGACCAAAATCCCTGACAATTTTGAAATTCCCCCTGGACATTTTTTAGGTATGAAAAGTAGGACATGTCCAGGAAAAAGAGGACGTCTGGGCACCCTATAATCCATCTCCAAACTCCACTAGTGCTGCTAGTTTTGTTGCAATCATGGAAAACCGTTCACAGATCGAAAAGGTAGCGCTCTGATGCAGGGATGTTAATTTTCTTCAAATTTTTTCCCCCCAAATCTTTATAAACAGATTTCTTTATTGTGTTGCTAGAATTTCATCAATGCAACAAAACCTAATACATTAATATTGTAATGTAATTTAAGCACCAAATATCAAACAGCAGATTAGTCACATGATGTGACATTTGCTCTAGGATAAACATTTCATCATCAAAGCTTATTATATATTTAAGCCCACATATTCCAATTTTATATTGGGCTAAAACACTTAGAGACTGTACTGCCATACGAGGCTTAAAGAAGACTTTTACATTTTTGCAGCTCTGGACAGATTTGTTTTTTTTGTTTTTGTGGTCCAATAAGGCTCTTTGAACAGTTTGGGTTGCCAACCCTTGATCAAGAGCTTTCCACAAATAGAGCAGTGATAAAATGTAAGCATATATAAAGCTCAAGAACAATTTCCTGTATATGTTCCTTTACCTCCCTTATTTTAGGTAATTTATGTTAACTTGCTACCTAAGTAAAATTAGGTTTAAATTTTAATGTCGGTCAAAATAAATAAAACCTACAAAAAATAGTTATACTTTTATCTGAAAATATATTTTTAAAAAAGTGGCATGTGTTTTGTGAGAGCTTCAGCGTGATAAATGTGATAAATCACAAAATTTAGAAGCATATTACCATACAGAAAATAGACCCTCTTACATCCACAAAAACCCTGGATCAAACTTAAAGTGAGATGTCACTTCTAGGCAGAATGGTGCAGGAGCAGTGTCTGCAAATGATTTTTCACTTTGCTGTCAGAGAGCATCCAGAACATCCAGAAAGCAAAATGATGGAAAGGAGATATCACTGATGTTTGGTGGAAGAAAAATGAATATTTTATTTCCATGCTTCTTTTGAGATACATATTAAAGAGAGTGCAAACTAGCAGAGCTCCTCTTCAGCAGATGAAACACTAAGCATGAGGATCCAAGTCAAGCATGAAACCAGGCGACTATGAAAGTAACCGGGGTCTAAACATCTCCACGTATTTTTAGACCTGCAACTACAAGTATGCTCTCCAGATTAGAGATTTACATTTCCACTTAGATAAACATAACTTTCCAAATACGTGATAAATCAAGTAAAATAACTTGGGTATGATGCTAAAATAAATACTCACACACAAACAAAACTCTACAAAAATACACACCCTTCATCTAAATAAAATATGGAGCTCAGCTACAATTAGAACTATTTAAGGATTTGCAACCAGTATGTAAGAGATGGTTTCCCTGGATTTATTATTACCCACAAAACACATGTTCATAGCGTAAAAAACATATAAATACATTTTTGATAAGCCTTTTTTCAATATTTTTTTAAAGTAGTAAATTTAAAAGCAGCTTTTAAAAACTTACCGGAGTGGCCTGAGCGTCCTCAGCAGCCTCAGCACTCGGAGCATGCCCAAGATTTTTTTTCCATAGAAAAGAGTCACCAGGATGTCAACAACAGAAATCATCACCAAGATCCCATCCAGAATGTTCCAGCTGCTCCTCAGGTAGGCGTTGTTCCCAAATAACCAACCAAGGGCCACGATCTGTACAGTACAGGGCAGTAGAGAGTACAAGTGTAATTGACATAAGTAAAAGCAGAGGTAATGTTTATTAATGTTCTAAAGCTTGATATCAGATCAGTGTTTGAACATAATCGGTTATACTGTTGCATTTTTTTTCCCTCTGTGTGGCAGTATTTCCAAATTCTTCTTGTATGATTCTTTTTGTTTTATTTATGAAATTTTTCATCAACAGGAAAATAATTATCCGGGCAAAATGTGGCACACATCTTCAAGTTCAAAAAGCAATTCTTAAAGGCTGGTTATACTCCCCGCAGCAGGGTGAGCTTGTCGCAGATATTTTTGATTTATGCCCAATATTGAACGTGGTCTGCTTTATGTTATTCCACTCCGCGACGCAAGAGGGACAATCAGGAACTAACTGTGGGTCTAGATACGGCCGAGGCGGTGAGGAACTGGGGACAAGTTTGTGTGACAACGGAGGGACATGAGGGGGAAAAAGAGGGGGGATCCAGGTGGAAAAAGGGTCTTCTAGCTGGTCCATCTTATGAGGCGTTTTCCACAATGGCGGTCATACAAATAAAACAAGCCGGTAAGGTACCAAACAGGAAATACGTATAGTGTAGAGTGGATGTAGATTTGACCAATCAGAGGCCTCCTGTCTGCGGTACTGTCTGCAGTCACCTACAATTTTGGAGAGGTGCTTCAGAGTGTCTGCAGAAGGGGGGGCGCACATTTGTTTTCCCTGCTACACACGCAGACAACCTGGTTTCTGAGTATAAATAAGCCTTTAGACCCCACACCTGATCTCTGCTATTAAAGCAAAGCAAACATGACATGTTTTGCATGTATTGTAAATAGTTATTGCATTCAAACTATAAAACATAATTTCTATTTTCACTGCATAACAGTAAATACTATTTGTAGAGCCTAAAAAAATATACAATCCTTTTCCATTTCCTAATATATTTAGACTAGGGCTGCAGCTAATGATTATTTTGTTAATCGAATAATCTATCCATTGTCTTTTCAATTATTTGATTAATAATCGGATAGCAAAATGTTCCTTAAAGAAGACTTTTTATGAAACTTAACTAAGTGAAACTAAAAATATTTCCACTTGAGGAGTTCTGCACAGAGCATATTGACAGAAAAAAGTTTTTTATCTTAAATGCAAAAAGTTTTTTATCTTAAATGCAAAAAGTTTTTAAATTTTGGTATGACTGTTGCTCAAGGTGGGTTGCTCTGTCAGCTAAAGTCCTGTTTTAGAGTCTCTACACTCCAATTAACGATTTATCGTGTACTAAATTACTTGACGATTATCTGAATAATCAATTAATCAGAATTAATCAGATTAATTATTTCAGCCCTAAATTAGACTAGAAACTTTAGTGGGCTAATTTTTCAATCCATCTTCTTCCACTTATTTCATCAGGGTCGTGGTGATGCTGGTGCCTATCTCCACTAGTCGATGGGCGAGAGGTGGGGGTTTATTTTGGTACGCCTTTACAAAAAATGTAATATGCATCCATCAAATGTAATTCAGTGTAAGATACTCTGAAATTGTAAAATCATGCCTGGGTGCATGAGTGAATATACATCCATTCCTAAGTAACTAGGCCAAAAATAGAGACAGAGACTTTGAATGAGTGACACCCATGAACTTTCCTCTCCTCTGCCTCTGCCTGGTGCTGCCCACGCCTGATTGGACCTCCATTCAAAGCCAAGCCATTTAAATACAGGCGAGACAATCCTTTTCCTGTGCGACAATCCTTCTGTGCATGAATGCCGTTTCTCTCTCCTGGTTCCTTTTTTCCAGCCTTTTCTCTCCAGTTTCCATTGTGTTTTGGGGCTTTGAGCTTTTGTAGTTATATGGGAGATTTCACTTCTATCAAGAGCTATGGACCTGAGGGATTTATCAAGTTTGGTTTCTTTTGTGCCTCTTTTTCATAATTTCAATGTTTTTTAAGAGTTCAAATATTAGTTGATTCCTTTAGGTTTGGTTTAGTGCCTATTCACTGCATTCTGTTTTCTGGGAATTCTAGTTCATTTACCTTACAGCACAATATATCTCTGTTTGTCTCCCCTTAGTTTATAGTTTGTTCCATATTACACCAGCGTCTAGATTTATTCTCTTCATTTCGGTCAGTACCTAAGTTCACAGTTAGCCATAATTTCCCGCTGGATATTTAGGTTTGTCTCCCCATTCTTCCATCCTTTTTCCATAGCCTGGTCTCCCCGTTTCTTTATTTTGATATGAACTTTAAATCAAAACATTAAACGTTTAAGAAATTCATCATGGCCAGCAGTCTATGACTATTAAAAGAGGAAACAATTGTAAACATAAAAGGATTTCTTCATTTATATTTGATAAAGGTTTCCAAAATTGTATTTCAGTTACCACGTATATCAATAATCATGGACTTTAACATTAAGTGTGTATTAAAATAATTCATGCTTGTCTATTATAATTTAATGATTGGGTAATGGTGGTTAAAGTTAATACTAACTTCAGCAGCAGATTTAAATAATTGTTCTAATATTGTTATTTCATCTTTCAAACCAAAAAAAAAAGACACATTTGACCAGGTATTGAAGTTTGCTGTGCAGTTATTGTTTTGAATTAAAATTTTTATGTATGATTCACAGAGATTTTACTTTATTTATTTAGTTGGTTAAATACCTGAGATATATCAGATGTGTTTTTATAATTCCTACAATATAATTTATGAGAGCTACTGTAGCATTTCAGCATCAATAACAGTCTAGAGTATGAAAGTAAGTTGCAGATGACTTCACCGAAGACTGCAAAAGAAAACACACATTTCACCAGAATAAAGCAATGAAGTACGTGATTCTAAAAGGCGATTTGTGGATTTGAAGCTAAGTTCTATCAAATGGAAAACAAATAATTTATCTTAAAAGGAAACAAAAATTTGTAACACTGTTGCCTCACAGCATGAAATTCCTGGTTCTAACCCTAGGTTCTCTCAGGGTACACTGGCTTCCTCTGACAGTCCAAAGATTACTTCTAGGTTATCATAAGTCTCTAAATTGACCTTAGGGGTTTGTGTGGATGGTTGTGCACTCAGCCTTTCACCCGACTATTGCTGGTGGTAGGCAACCGCTATTTATGGGTTAATGTCAAATGGATAAGTGGCCACATCTTCTACCCCTTGTCCGTCAGGGTCATGGACAAGCGTTAGAAGACTGATGTAAAAAGCAAACACCATGTGAATTTCTCACCTTTACGGTCATTTCTGCAACAAATATCGCTGTAAAGATGTAGTCAGACCACATCAGGAAGATCCGCTCCTGCAGAACAACAAGGTGACACAAATTGTTTAGAATTCAAGTGCTCTCTCAGATTTCTTTTTCCACTAAGCCTAAAGTTTTCCGACTAAACTAGTTGAGTCCCGCACAATAATGTATCTGTTTTCCTCATTTGTTATCTGAACTCTAAACCTTTCTCAATCGCCTGCTGTAGTCTTTTGACAGCTAGAAGACCCTTGTGAGGGTTGGTCTTTAATTCATACTCCTGGAAAGGTTTTTTTTCTAACAAATAGAAAATAATATCTTTAAGGTTATGTAAAATAAAAATTTTCTTTTAAATTAATCCCTAAGTCCTGGTACAACTGTTAATTGTCTGGTTTTATAGCTTGCTGAATAAAGGTTTGAACTGCAGCATTGTCCTTTCTGTTTCTAAAATGTGTTTGTAGTTAATACATTAATCCATTGGTTTTCTTCTGCTAATTTAAGATAGAACTACTGAGTTGTGGTTTTTGATGTTCGTTCTGAGGATTCCCAATATTTAAACCTAAGCTGAATTTCAATCTTGCTTTTTTAAACATTTCTTTAAGGGTTATCTGTTACTTTAGGATTTATTTGAAAATACTCTAGCTGATAAAATATGTCTGAGCTGTTAAATCTTTGCACCTTAAGTGGATCCTCTGTAATCCAACATGGGAACCTTTATTTAGCTCCTACTGCAAGATCTAGATTACAACCTCAGACTATCAGTCAAGATGCAGAAATCTTTGGACATTGTTAAGCTGCTATACTCAGAGGAAAACTTTGATGCTTTTGACATAAACATTAGGTTCATTTTATATACTAAAGACTTTTTCAGGTCAACAAGGTGCACTTGTATAGTATAGATGCTCAATGCAGATTGCCCTTCCCAAAAACACTCCTATGTAACTTGAAAGAGACAGATTCATTACAAAACAAGTCCTGAGACCGAAAGTAGGCCCTACCGCATTGTAGCTATCAGAGACTCCCTTCAAACGAGAGCGAACTAAACTAAAAGTTGTCATCAGGCAACAAAACAGATGAGACCCTTACCTGATCAGACATATTTTTGGTTCTCTGGTGTCTTTCTTTGTGCACTCGAGTTTGCAGCTAAACAGAAAGCATTCGACTATTCTAAGTCCTGAGCCATGGTTCTTAACTACAAATCAGTTAGACTTCTCCCTGCAGGTCAATTGTTAGTCTCTGCAACAAGTGAGAGTTCAGTTATCTTCTAACCTTCAGTGATGATCACAGATAAAAATAAGATAGAGCAAGAGATGAATAGATGCATTAGGTCTGCAGAACATAAGGCATCTATTCATGCTGTTGGCAATGCAGTAATGTTGCAGTATTGCTTTAGTTGGTTCTTAGTAAACAAAGACTTGAACTGAGTCAAATGTAAAGCTTTTGATTTTCATTCTCTCTGGGCTACAACATATATAGATTGAAAATTAAAGGATGAGAATTTGGATACCAGCAGCTAAAATTAGCTTTCTTTATAGGATGACTGGATTCACCCTTAGAGCTACTATGAAATGCTCTTTTATCCAAGAAGGTTTGAGGGGATGCAATGGTTCATTTACATTAAGGGTTTCAGTTAAGGTGATCCTACCATCTGATCATAACAACCTGTAAAGCCATCTAATGGGTGGATTGATGGATAGATGAATGAACGGACAGATGGATGCACAGATGGATGGACTGAGGGACGGATCGACGGATGGAGGAATGGATCGATGGATGAATTTACCAATCAGGTTTTATTAATGCACCTGCAATGGTTTTTATTTCTATTACTTATTCATTATTGTTATTATTAGAAACTTCTTCTATCTGTGATGCCAGACATGGTGTTGTCCTTCAAGGGTTAATTAAAAAAAAAAGGGATCAGAAGCTTCATTCAGACAGGTGAGCCTTAGCTGGGGAAATGCTGAGGAAGCAGATGCAGACCTGGCTGCTCACAGCAACAGGTGATAAACGTGGTTGATGGGCAGAATAGCAGGAGTTGAAAGATTAAGGGTATAGGTAACAGTCAGCTCCGAGTCAACAGACAGAGGTGTCTGACATACGCTTGGTAAGACAGGGAAATCCTGGGTAATATGGTTGTGGTCAAAGATTTGGAAATGAGCAGGGGAAAAAGCTGGACATCCACTAGCTCAAGACCTTTAAAAAATCTGGTGCCAACCATCTGCAGAGAACCAAAATAAAAAAGGGGATCTACAGGTGGAGGGAATGGACTGATTGTACTCCCACTGTAGGTGGATGGCAGGTGTATTTGATGAGCTCGAAAACAGATGGGCAAAAATCATAAAAAATCTCGTTTTAATCCAAACTGTAAAAGACATTTGAGACTTTCCATCTGTAAAAATGTGTCAAATATATTTAAAAAACATATTAAAAATACTAGCTGTTGCCATGTTCCCATACCGAGTTTATTTTTTTTTTTTTACAAAAACAACCATAACCGTTCAAAAGTATCTACACCATAAAGTCAGTATATTACATTACCTTTCAAATACAGTGCCATGTCTTTGCCCTGCAGAATGTCCTCTGCATGTTCACTAATATGACTGGAGTTTACTTAGTGGGCTTAACAAGGACAGAGGAGGAAAAACAAGAAGGATACCACGAATAAGAAGCATTCAGCCAGTGCTTATTCTCCCTTTTCTCCCTCTGCCTAAAGAGAGAAAACCCTGTCCTGCCTCTTAATGTCTATGCATGGTGGAGGGGGCTGTCTTTCCCACGACCTGCACTACCATCCTATATGCTCAGAAGAGCTCTAAATCACATATATTTAAAATGGAAAGAGACAACAAGCCTGTTCATTATGCAGTTTTTACTTTCAGGAATGGTATCACTAGAATTTCCTCTGAGGCAGCTGTTATTGTCATTTTGTACACACAGAATATATAAAAAACTAAATCTAATTTTGTGCAGCTTTCATGACATTTCTATTCCTTAAAGTGCAGCAGTAATCAAATGTAAACAGTGTGGGGGGGGAAAAAAACATGGTGCAAAAAACGTATTGATATGGAAGTTCAGAGCATTAAATATATATGGTGCAAATATGCAGTGTTGTGGTTTGGTGTTGTCAGTGTGCTGCAGAGTCTCTGATATGATTTAGAGATTTTTTCAACAGTTCAGCTGTCATCTCTGTTTAGATGGTCCATAAAGATCAGTTTTAGCAGCAGCCAATTTTATATTTTATGCCTCTCTAGAATAAACAGCAAAGTTTGATTACTGTAACAGGGTTTCTATTTTTTAAGGGCTGAAAAATGTGATTTCTTGTTTACGAGAAAAAGAAAAGTTAATTTTTTTGCTTTTACCTTATTGTGCCACTTTTGGGCTGCTCTTTGGGACACTGGCTAGCTCTGCTGCTTTGCAGCAAGATTGGATCTCCCTGAATCCATGATTAAAGCTTTGCATTGACCATTTATGGTTGAATGTGGGCAGAAAGTGGCAAACTTTAAGGCATAGCTGTGATCTACAAAGGATATTGTTAGATGTTGTACAGGCACTTTTATTAAAATTCCAATTTTTTGTAGGAATTAATTTTCAGGATTTCAGGATTCATTTTAGTATGAATTCCACACACTGTTTTATAAATTAAACAAAAGGTCTCAATGCAGCTACATGGTTTCACCATATGCAGGAGATCAATCTGTTTTCGATTACTTTGGTCTTTCTTAAGGATCTGGATGTGTGGGAAGAAAAATTATGAATTTTAGAATTCAAAGTGAAAATAGTCAAACTCAACTGTTTTAAAGTTTTAATCATTTCCACATGATTAAATATAGTTTACATTTTGTGAACAAACAGAATTTAGATTCTGAATTTCTCCCCATAAATAGGCAGAACATGAATAAGGAAAACAATTTAGCCTCTAGCCGAAGGCAAACAAATGATAAATTCAAGCAACTCCCCCATTACTGTCCTTAAATAATTGTCATTGTGTTGTTTTTTCCACTTTAACACAAACATGTCCTCTCACAGCGATTTAGGGAAGGGTTGAACTGTAAAGGAGATAAATCTATCATAAAGCCTTGGTTTTGACTTCAATTTACTGTACTGCATTCAATGCTGATATGATTCAATTCGTAATTTTGGACAGTGGTGTATTATCTCCTGCCTCTTTGAGAAATAATAAATAATTATAGATATTACTGTATAATCATTCACTTAGTTTATTTACCCTGAGCTGATGAAATGATGACAATATCCAGGCAACCCCAAGCAACAAATGAAAACAGAAACGAACAACAGGCCAAATGCAAACTGTTTGATATAACTCCCAATGAAATATCATAATGAAATAATTATTCAGCCTGCATTCGACACCCAAAAGCACTTCATCTTTGTATTGATGAATAGATTTCATTTCGGAGAAAGTGCTATTGTTGTTTTGTTTTTTTTTAAAGCTGGCAAAGAGGGTGATGTAAAGCAGCTCCTTATAAACAGATGCAACAAAGTGATAAATTATACATGTTTGGGCTGTTGGAAGCAACTCAGAACAAAATCAGCGAGAGCAAATCGATTTACAATCGACTTCATTAATACAGAACAACGCAGATGGACAAATAAGCAGCCGCCGTGAACAGCCATTACAAATGGAATCTAGAGAACTGTAATGACTGTTCTTTCTCTTGTATCAGGATGCTTGCTGGGTTGTGTATTTCCACCTCATTTTAATGATGGCCACAGTGTGGCGGTGCTGAAAAAGTGATTTTCTAGAATACCACTCGCTGACCTGAGTGTTAGAAAGGCTGCTGGGATTTATGGTGGGTATTTGCTTAAAATGATCAAAATGATCTGTGTGTGCATGACCCTGCAATCCACAAGAACCAGTTAGCACAGGTGAGACCTTCCAATTCCTTTTAGACATTAATCAAGAGTGTATATATATATAGACAAATATACATTTGTCTGTGTTAAAGCAGGGCAAAGGAGGCAGGATGCCTTGCCACTTTTACTCTGTTGGAAAGGCTGCCGCAGCAGCTAAGGCATTGATGTTGTAGATGATGCAGTGCAGCAAATACAGAGGTAAAGCACATATCACCCTGAGCAACTGGCTCACAGTCAAACAAGAGTGGTTCCCTGCTTATACAATGTTCCGCTCTATTTCTCTTCAGAGTGTAAGCTACAGAACAAATTCTGTACGGTGGTGTCTGGATTTAGACTCACTGATGGCTACTTTTTTTTGGTAATCTTGTTAATGTTAAGGCTAATTGTTTTTTTAATAATATTTAAGTGAAACAAAACAGCTAAAATAATCTTTGGTACTTTCAAAACTGTTTGTCTGACATCAAACTTCATCATGTAAATGAAGGGAAAATTAGAAACGTTCTCTTTGATTGGAAATAATCTTGTCAGACCTTGAGCTCTGGTCCCATTTCCCCCCTTTTAACTTCAGGCACTAGAAATCTATGTATGATTTTTATCAGCACCCTGAGGTTTGCTAAACTACTTAACTTAGTGGTCAGAGCAGGGTATTCTCAAAGGTATAGTGGAAGATTTTCGCAAATTTTTGAAAAGACCTGCCCTCTCCGCTTTTAAAAAAATGCACATGTACAACCCTGTACCCGCTAACGACAGGGAACACCTATTAAACACATGTGAGAGCGTACATGAGCCGGTTTCTCCTCTCGCATGCTCTGTTTAAAAGTTGCTGTATGCATCGCTCATATAAGCTTACTTTCCTAAAGAAGATTTGCAATTTTTTCACCATGTCAGATTCACCACCAGTAAATGAAGACGAACACGAGGATGGCCTGAAGTAAACATATCCGCAGAATGATTGACAGTTAGGAGGACCACTTATTTTGAAGATCCACTCGGAAAAATAACTTCCTCCACTATACCTTAAAGGTAGTACTATCAAAAGTGAAAATATTTCTATTTCTATTCAAGACTAAGCTGGAAAAAGCAATGCATGAATTCATTAGTTCAAGGCTGGACAACTGTAATGCTCTCTCTGCAGGAAGTACTGTAGCAATATATTCTTCATTAGCTCGGTCAATGCAAAAATGCAGCTGCCCAGTGTCTCTCAAAGGCGTCCATATTACACCCATTCTCTTCTCTCTTCACTTGCTTCCAGGTTGATTAAGGATAGATTTTAAAATCCTGCTTGTTCTTTTAAAGTCACTACTCAAATAGCTCAAGCGCCTTTGTCTGAACTTTAAAGTTTTTGCAACCAGAGCCCTGCACTCAGCAGATGCATAACCCTGCATGTCTCCAGTGCTAGGTGCAAAAGAGAGGATGATTGTTGAGGAATGCTATACCACCAGAGCTAAACTAGTGGCCATTCAAGATGGCCCTTCCCAGTCAAACACCAGCTAAATGGCAGCCTACTCCCCTGCGAATCCCAGCAAAATCCCCTCCAACTTCCAGCCACTGACCTTCTCCTGGGCGTGGATTTTTTTTTTTACTCTGACTTAACCGTTTCACTGAATTACAGGGTCTGACCAAGATATGATGCTTCTCTTCATATCTTAACGTCCCCAGATCATGATAGAAATAATATTTCATAATAAGGACTGATGTTTAAAAAGGAATTGTAGGGAACCAGGCAAGGGCCAGCAAAGGGCCAATCAAGGAAAGTGGGGAAATTTAGAATGGCTACTACTGTACAATCCATTACTGACCTGGAGTCTTTAAATCACTGCTAACAAAATCAACTATTCAGACAGGCCTTTCATTCCTAGCAGTTCAGCTGTAGAACAAATTTTCTATTAGTTTATATTCTGGTTTCACTACTTTTCCTTATAGCATCGAGAACAGTTTGAATTGTACTAATGTGTAATTTTTGTTTTTATCTCTTTTATCCTGTTATTTTCTTACCTTTACATTTTCATATTTTATCTATTTGACATCTTGTTTAAAATGAACTTGTGAAGCACTTTCTGCACCATATGGATTGTTTAGAATTGAACAAACTTGATTTGATGATCAATCGATGGTTGACATCACTTTTTTTAATGTTATGTTTTGAATTCTGCAAACCTATTTAAAAGAAAGTTCAAGGGCTCCTGCAAAAAAAAATTAGTTTTTGTTTATTATCTTTCTGAATGCCAGAAGTAGTAATGCAGAAAGTACCTTTTATTTCTATAGAACCAGAATGCAACCCCCCCAAAAAAATGTCTTGATAAAGAGTGGAACTTAATATAGGATTATGTGATGCTCACCGCACTGTCAGGACTGATGCCAGGCCTCTCCATGGCGATGGTGATGCAGTTGAGGAAAATGATGACCAGCACAACATGGTCAAACATTTTATGGTTGATGATCTTTTCACATTGCCTGCGGCATCTGTGAAGAAAAACAGAAACAAGTTATATTTTTTATATCTAATTAACTCAACTTTAGGAATATATATTAGCTGAGACACAAATGCAACAAGAGATCATAAATATTTTAGTCTTTCATTAAATTTTTTGTATGTATTGATTTTATTGCAAAAAGTATTGCTGTTATCTTTAGATATTTCAAAGCTGTTGCGTTCAAGGAGAGAGTGAGATGGAAACATCGACGGTGTCCATTTTTTAAAAGAACTTTAACCACACAATTCTCAGGACATGGTTCACTTGCATTGCATTCATTAGAAAATTAACATTTAATAAAATAATTTACTAATTTTATTTGAGGCATAAATGCATTTAAAGGCTAGTAGTTTATGAAAATATATGCCCACTTTACACTGGATTGAGAAGAAACTCTAGACACTTTGACAAATATTCTAAATCCCCCTCAGTGGGAGGACACTGGTTGCTCTATGACCTTTGAACTTACTTACAGGGTTTTCCCTTTTTTTTTTCTCCATTAACTAATATTCTGCTACTGTCAAGGTTAACTAAAATGTTTGCTTGATGTTGTTATAATCTGCATATTTACCCCCGAAAAATTTGACGTTTCTATGCCTCTGTCATCAGTCTCTGTCATACCAAAGAGAAAATTTCACTATTAGCCATCATGAGAAGAAATCCACTCAGGATTCCCACCTGTGCAAACTTCTTATCTAGTGTTGCGTTTTGCTTGGAAGGAGCAACCATGAGAAAGTGTCCATACATTTTTTTGTTTTGTTTGTTTAAGGTTATTTATTTTTATTCTTTTATTCAATCTATGTCTATTGTTGAATTAAATTTAAAGCCCTGTTAGCTGCTGGTGTTTGCACTACATTCTTTCCTCCTCACTGTTTAACACAATCCCAGATTATAATCTTCAATAGGCAGTAATGCAAAATGTATGTTTTAATCTCCGGTTTGAAAAAAGTCATGATTGCCACCCTAACAATCTGAATGAACCGACTCTCAGAGGGGAGACTGACACACAGGTCCTTAGAAATTTTGTATATCTGTTGGGATCCTCAGGCTTGCCCTCCAGAGGGCGCCGAGGATCCTCTTCTGCTCTTTGTTACTTTCTCTTAGACTGGAGTTACTGTTGGAATCTGGAGCTTTACCACCTTCCTCCAGCAGAGTGCGCCGTGGGTCCTCCTGAGCTGAGCCTCCAACACACCTGTGGCCCATCTCATCATCAGAGGATCCACTGCTATATAACCTGCCTTCAGACCTTGGCTCAACGCCGCAGTGTTGATCTTAGTTTGGTTAGCTACCTGAACCTCTGTTACTGAAAGAATCTTGGTTGTCTCTAGTGTGAGATTCAGATTCTAATCTCTCCTTTGTCTGTGCCTCACAGGAAACCTGTCTCTGGCCTGAAGCTCAGGAAGAGCTGCCTCACAGGAAACCAGTCTCTAGCCTGAAGCTCTAGGTGATCTTAACCTCCTGATCTGCCCTGGTGAGCCAACCTGAAGATTCCTATGTGGATTTGACCTGAAGACTTCTACGTGGAGTTTACCTGAAGGTTCCTATGTGGAATCACCCTGTAGAATCCTATGTGGATATTCCCTGTTGTTCTCTGCAATGAGCTGGAAGCTCAGCCTGAAGAATCCTATGTGGATATTCCCTGTTGTTCTCTGCAGTGAGCTGGAAGCTCAGATTTTGGTCTGCCATGCTAAGCCTGAAGCCAGACGCTTAGCTTCTCATTAACTCTGCTAACCAACAGTCTCCGGTCCCAGTCAAGACTTCAGTGAAACATTCTCAGAACTTGTTTATTCTCTCGTGTTTAGAACTTTTAATAAACATTTGGACTTTTTCCCTGCCTCCTCCGTGTGTGTTCTGCATAAGGGCTTGCTCCAGTGACCAATTATGACAATATCTTCCAAAGGGTGCAAACATGTTTGTATGCACAGAGCAGATCTTCAAAGAAGGTACAAAGTTACTTTCACCTTCTTCAATTTAGTAGTCAGCATGTGCAAAAATGTCTTTTTTGCCTGACCCCTTTATCAATATGCTGGTCATATTCTAATGACTACATCCTGCAATTTATAGATTGGGAATATGTAAGTGCAATGCCGTTACGTGCAAAGTAATTTTTCATATCTTAAATTTAACTGCGCGTGACATTATATGCCTGTTTTAGCATTTCTGAAAATCCGGGAACAAATTTGAAAACCAAAATTTCTGCTTTCATTGCCAAAAAGGAGCCATCGGTAGAATGATGGACGATTGAGAGAGATTTTATGAACATTTAAATATATTTGGGCGGTCGGGAATAACAATACTAGAATGAAATTATCAAAGAAAAACTATCTGCACAGGCTGGGACAACACAGCGGGATGGCAGGCGATTTTTATATGATTAAACCAAAACTAAACAGAAAAGATTTTTTGGAAGATATATGTTGAAAAGTCAGGAGTATTTTATGGTCTTTAACAGACTGCATGCAACGCATGGCTGTGTTTTCTTCAATAATTAAGGGCCTAATTGTATGGCAGTATATTAGGTCAAGCTGCTTTTGAGACGAGCTGGTGGAGAAAATTCCAGCTGTTTACAAAATAACCTTCGGCTACTTCTTTGTTGCATAGGGGCGAGATGCGGAGGTCAATCAGCGAACAAAGAAAACTTCCTCATATTTCAACTTCTTGTTAATGTTTTCTTTCTACAGTAGCAAAGTGAAGTGAGCTATGAATATATAAAAATATTATTAAAGTACCTGAGCTGACTATGATAGAATTTATTTTGAATTGCATTTATCAGTATAACTTTCCACTGAAAATTTCAATTCAGTTCAATTCACATTATTTATATAGCGACAACACATCTCAAGGCACTTTACAGGGACAATTCAATCAGATCATACAATCAGATTTATATCTAAGGAAAACCATTTTTGGCATAGACTCATTTGAGTCGATATAGCATAATTTTACTTAAACTACCTTGAAGCCTTGAAGTCTGGTTTACTTTCTTCATTTATATTGACAGTTCTTGCTGCTTGAATAAAAACATTAACTTAGTCTGAAAAAAAAACATAAAAGCAACATCACTGTTGCATCCGTGCCATCTACCTGTGTTATAATAAAACTGACTAACTTGCTAAATTGTGATTAATACCTTAAGTGATTATTGAGAAGGAAATTTGGATTGACTACATGAAAAAAGGACAGACAGAAATCTCTATTTATTTAAGATGAAAAGTTTTCCTCCCCTGTAGGAGATTTGCTCTATTAAAACATAATTTAAAAACAATAATTTAGTTGATAGACATAAGCAAGGTAGTTCAGAATAAAGTCTGCAGTGCACAAGTGAAAATTTAGGCTTTATCTTGTGCTGAATTTCATTAAATGGTTGCCAAGCTTTAAGCTCATGAAAACACACTGAAAGATCCCAGCAGTGACTGTTCTATGTGGTGGTGTCAGGATTTAAAACGGGAATCAAATGAGATTTAAAGGCTCATGTGGGTATAAATGTGCAGCAGGGGCATTATGTCGGGAGGCCTAGATCTAGATATCTGGCTTTATTTGGTAACATAGTCATGATTGCTCGGAGTCAGAAGACATGTATGTTTTTCACCTCATTTTGCTTTCTCATGCATTAGTAATATCTGCATACCAGAGGCTTGATTATGTAGAATTTGTCTGTTTTTCTCAAGTGGTTGAGGAAGGGAGACACACAGCTCCATCTCTTCCTCTGAGGTTCAAAGGGCAAATATCTGGAAGTGAACTTTAACCGGAAATGGTTTGGAAAACCAGAAACACACACACACTAACAGTGAGAAAACGGAAGGATCTCTTCTACAGGCTAAAACTGTCAATGGATGCTCAGACAAAATAACACATTCTGCTCACTTTTTTGAAAGAAAAAAAAAACACCAAAAAACTTTAAATATTGACATCCTCATGAGAAAAACATTCTGACAACTGACCGAAGTACGCCTCCCCAGTGGTATTTACTGACCTTTGGAGTTTTCACGCAGTAAAAAAAAAAAAGGTTGTGATGATGGCTGGCATACACGCATTTGATATCTACCACTGAAAGTTTCCTGCTTTTTAGACATCATAAAGTGTATCCTAAGTTATGAGTGAAAGCTGACAGAATTTGTAACTTTTTAAAACTCAAGATCTTCAAATACTATTTTAGGTGTTTGGTTGGGATCACAGTCATAAATATTGATCTTTTGAACTGACCAACAAAGGGGTTTTTGGTCACTTTCCAGTGATATTCTTATTGAAACAGAGACTTTTTTAGACCACTGGGTTCATATATAACTCTTAGTAATGGAGATTGACCTTCACAAAAATCAGTTGAAATGCTTTTTTATACAAGGTTCAAAGTATTACATTTATAAGGTTTTTAGAATGATAAGAAAATTATCAGTGGCTTTAGTTTTATTTTTTGTTAAAAGAGAATACAAAACTTATATAGCCAAAGCCATTACCTCAGAGTTCAAGCAAAACACAAATTTTGTAAAACAAGAGTTTTCCAATTATTTTTCTCTAACGTTAGCTAAAATGTTTGAATGTCAAGTTAATTAAGAATTTAAGGTATTGTGGAGGATTTTCGTGAATTTCTTCTCTTCACTTTGTAAAAAAAAATTCACATGCACAACCAAGTACCCGCTCCTGAGAGGGTACACTTATTACACTCGTGCAAAAGCATGCACAAGCCCATTTCTCCTCGTGCATGTTCTGTTTAAAAGATGTCATAGATCATACAAGCTTACTGTGTCTGAACTAAATCCCTCAATCACTATATAGAGTGGGGATTATATCGTGGACTTTGTAGCGAACTTAGTTAACTGACCATTCAGACAGATGATCACTACTTTTTGGTCCACGTTGGTCATGTAACTCCTCCTCCACTGCGCGGTGCCTGCGCCATATTTGTTTGTTGCCATTGTCGGATAGCAACAGCCTATGGCCACAGGCCGCTGTGACAACAAATCCCATAATTTGCAAGGAAAGCTCTCCACGCAAAGCATTCTGGGATATATCTGCCTCCTCTGAGGCCTTTCTATTCTTCTCATACACATCATAGAAACTTTTTCTCTTACAACCTTCGGCCAATTTCAAAGAACTATAGAGAGAAAGGTCAGCTTCAACGATTGTCTCAAACCGTAGCTCACCACAGATATACCCCTGAATGTGCAAATGCACAGAAAAAGATAGCTTACGGGACAAGCACATAGGATGGCATCACGTAAACATATCACCAGAATGATTGACAAATAGGAGGACCACTTATTTAGAGGATCCACCTGGAAAAAAAAGATAGTCCTCTATACCTTTAAACAGGCATTACAGAGTTTTCTAATGATACTGCCACCTGTGGCCAAAACACACAACTGCAGCACTCTTCTGCTCCTGCTTGTGCTCGTCCTTACAGTAATAAGGGTTGTCTCACTTTTTTCACCTTACATGGAGTTGCTATTGGTGTCTGAGTGGAGCTGAGTATCCACAATCTTGAATATAAAGCTTAGATTGTTTGATAACTTTGACCCATTTATCCTGGACATGATTGACGTCACATCCACCAAACAGCACAGGAACTTCTAACCAAAAGTTGATGAATAAAATTGAACTACAGACTTATCGATCAGCACTGATCTACTGAAGTGTCCGTCTGCTTATCAAACGATGACTGAGTCATAAAGAGTCAAATAAAAAGGCTATTTTAAAAATATTTTTTTCAGAAAAAACTTTGTTTGTGTTTCTTTAATCTACATGTGTTGAATCCGATAAGGTCTTTCAAAGCACAAACCTAATCAATGCCTTTATTGATTGAGGCTGCACAATATCATAGAGGCTTTTTTTAAACCAGTTGACATCTATTGCAGTAACTAAAATCTTTAGCTGTCAAGTTAAATGGATACTGGCTTATGCAAAGTCTCGTGGGTAAGTAGGTTGAGCAAAACACATTTTAGGTGGAAGTTTTTTAAATCATACATAAGGGAAGTTTTTAATAGTTATTTATTAACAATATTTTAATATTGTAAGAAATTCTGAATGGGCTGAGAAATGGATATTTCTCAGCGGAATAACAAGACCAAACTCCCTCAGTAGACGCTGAACATCCCTGGTGCTTTTGTATTTGCACATTCTTCATATTTAAGAGGCAAAATATTTAAGCTACTGGCTTGCAGAGAGCCTGCAGAGGCTCCTCACCCCCTACTTATTAATACTGTCCATAGGTTTCAGTAGAATGAATAATGCCCACTCAGGGCTGCAGGAGGTGAGCTCAGGTCGTTGTGCACTCTGCTTGATTCTAGTTCCCTGCTGCACCGCTGCCAAATCTTGATGAGATTTTGAGCACAGAAGGGTGTTAGAAACAGGCACCACACAGAGCCAGTGTCCTCAGTGTCATCCTCAGCCAGTGCCAAAGCTTACGTCCTATTGCGAGTGAAAGCCAGCTAGAAACGCACCGAGAGAAGACTACTGCTCTGACAAAGAAAATAATACTACAGTAAACCTTTTTAAAATATATATACAACAGATATCAGAGAGCTAACCCACCAGGTAGTTTGACAGAGCTCAATGTAGGGTATGTATCAAATTTTTATGACATCAGGGAAAAAATGTCCTGAAAGACAAAATAATTTACCCTCATCAGTAACTCAAAATGTGGGACAAAACGAAAGGAGAGGTAAGAGACTGTAAAGGAGTGAAGATTCCACACGAGCCTGAGATAACACACCATAATCAGCTGGAACATCTCCCCTCCGCCGTACGCTGCTGCTTACTCATCCCTGACATAAGAAGTGTGCAGATGAAAGAGACTTCTGAAGTGTAAGTGTGGGAGGGAATAGGAATTGATATAAAATGCAAGGCAAAAATTTGATGCCTTCATATGTTCAGTGGAAACAACTATGTCAGCACTATGGGATGTCAGTGGAATGCAGTGATAAAACTACAGTGGTTTGGTAGAGGAATGCACAAATACTTCAGATAGCTTAATTTTTTTGGGACGTTTTTATAGGATAAAAGTCTGCAAGATCCAATGAAAATAATAATTAGAAGTGGTGTAAACTATACCTGGACTCCGGGGGGAACAGGTAGAGGGACCATGTATCTCTCTGACGACACCATTCTGGCTGCTTTTTCTCCATCCATCGAAGTATCCTGGCCAAACGTCCCTGCACATTGAACAAAGGGTGAACAATATGTCTTATCCAGCTGTCTGAGGTCTAAAGTGGTTTTACACATAAAAACACACCCTCAAACATTTGTGAATAAACACATTTTGTGAACTACAGTTTTAATATGAGAGAAGGATACATTTCAAACCTAATATTTCTATCGGAAATCAATATCTATGGTTTTATCTACTTATCAGATGTGTCTGAATGGGAAAGATAAACTGAATATGACCAGCCTGGTAATGACATGATATTAAAACTGTCAAATCATGATGCCACATAAGTAAATCAAATCTAAATGCCATCTTTTATGCCAGCCAATGACACTTGTTTATGATCTATGGGATAAAAATCAACCTGTCAGGTCATTAAACGCTGCTCTACCCACCGATTATAATCATGTAGCTTTGTGATAAAACGAGCATCTTTAGTTACCTGGGAAACATTTCTAATGACTCAGTAGGTGAAATAAAGACAGTAACAAAAATCTAGATCTAGGAATTGTATATGCTAATCTTTTTTATGGAGTGAATCTTGTTCCACTATTGTTGCAAAGTTTTGCAATTGGACATAAAGATTTCATTCCATTAGTTTTTTTAATGTTTTTTTTCTTTTCTCCAGATTCATTATTTGCAAACTTATTTTTTTTTATTTTCTTTTTCTTTTCTTTTTTTTATGAATTACCTTGTCCCAATTTGTTTGTATGGATCAAATTCTCTTCACTTCAAGCCCAAAGCAAAATCTCATAAGCCTGCCTCCAGAACTGAAGAGATACAGCTAGAACTGAAGTTTGTCCTAAATGTGAAAACTCTGTTAAACTCTTTGGGGTGATTTGTAGTTTCATCATGTTTTGGTATGTAAAATCCTTAGTAGTGAAAGAGCAATAAAAGTTCTTTTTTAAAGTATAACTTAGATTTTTTTGAGCATTTTTTCAAAATATGCCAAAAGAGTTTGAATAGTCAATTGTTAAAAAATTTGCTGTTTAACATCTTAGGATCTGAATGTTTGTGTAAACGTAATTCTAGGTGTAAAGGTAATTCATGCACATGCACACCTGGCTGACCTCCTCCTCCACATTCTCGTCTTCAGTGTTTTCGTCTTGAGAGACATTAGTCTGGCTGAGGGCTGATGGAGATCCCTTCCCATTACAGTCGTTGTGTTCTGCAGTTCGGCCATGGCCCAGGGAAGGGGGTCTGGAGCTCTGCATGCTGGATGTGCGGTGCAGGTAGGGCACCTACAAGGAAAGGAAAAAAAGGTTTCTAAATTCAGATTAATAGCTCTGTGTACACAGGGCACAGTAATTAGCAGCGATATTGTGCATATGTGTGTATGTATATGAAGATGAAATTATACCTCACACTTCGAAAATGATCTTAAAATGAGTAAAACAGTTTTAAAAAGGGTGTTTTCTCTGTCATAGCTGCTAGAGTTCAGAGTTTCAGATTTCTAGTCTCAATGACAAGTCACTGGGAAATTGTATTTTAAAGCGTTGAGTCTGGGTTCATACCAGACTCTATCTATTTTGAAATACTTCTAACCATGATGCAGGGTCCCTTTTTAAGTTTAGTAGGAATTGCATTTATTTTTATCGCTTGAAGTTCTGATAGGAGGCTCAAGGAAGGAGTCACATACAGCAGCAGCCACTAAAAATGTCCCTTCCCTGTCAAACGCCAGCCGAATGGCACCTCACTTCCCTGCAACTCCCAGCAAAATCCCCTCCAACTTCCAGCCACTGGAGTGACCTGATCCTTCTCCTGGGCATGCATATTTCTTTACTTTGACTCCACCCTGAATTACAGGGTCTGACCAGGAGATGATGCTTCTCTTTAGATCTTAATGTCCACAAATCATGACAGAAAGAATATTTTATTACAAAGATTGATGTTTAAAAAGGAATTGTAATGGAGCAGCCAGGGACTCATCAAGGAAAGTGGGGATATTTTGAGTGGCTACAACTGTACAAGTCGTTGTAGTTTGGTTTATTTGATAAATATCAGTTCATTTCCGATCACCCTGAGCTGTCACCTTATCCGAAGGCATTACAGGAGACTCTGGCTTTGTAAGGCTCTATTCAGTAGCTGTGTCTACTGTCACCTAGCTTTCCTGATAATTTTACGATACTGCCAGAAGATGGCGCACACATCTGTTTATGTCTGCTCCTTTTGCCCAGTGCTGGAACTCTATTTAGGCTCAAAATAGTCTGTTAAACACTATCAAGAGAGACTCTTGGTTTATATAACCTTGTTTTATAAGGATTAAGTTGTTTTTGGTCCTTTTATTTCTTTGCATTCTATTTAACTATGAGCCTTACATACATTGTATTAAGTGTTGAGTGCATATTCATAAAAAAAGAAGAGATACTTCTTTTATTAAAATGTGCTAAGTTTCAAAAATAGTTTCTCAAAAACATTTTAAAGTGTCTCAACAATCAGTTTAAAACATATTCTTTGGCACAACTACTATCAAAGCTTTTTTTAAACTACTGCCCTAGTTTTGCATGTTTCCATTGTAGATTAAAAATTAGCTTGTTAATGAATTCTAAATTTTAAGGATGGAGGACCACGTTGGTGTGACCCAAACCTTTCACAGTCTTATAGCATACGTTCGGCATATTTGCAGTGTTACTTGGTCTTCATATTATGGCTTGGTTTCAAACAAACCTCTAAGGCAAAATTTTTACTAGGATGAATTTACAAATGGATTGACTCTATTCAATAATTAGAGTACTTCTGAAGGTAACTTTTAATGTGGGTTTTTGATTGAGAGCTGTACGAAAAAGAGGATGAATATAAAATTTCTTTACACATTTCTCAAAAACAAAATGTTCTTACCTTCCTTCCGTCATATTAATACCTTTGTATTTATATTTTCTTACAAAATGAAGAAAAACCTGAGGAAGTTCACTGTCCGTGACACTTGATACAATAGAAAGCTTCAAAAGCTGCCCTACCTGCAATGAGTTTTCAGGAGGCAATTCCATGGAGCTCCGAGTTTCAACAGACTCCATCCTCCTGTGTCGTGGTGCCCTCTGAGACTGTGACATTGAGTCTGTCCTTGGAAGGGACTTGTCATCTTCTTCCAACACCCCACCCCCACCTTCTCCATCATCAGAGCTAGAGTCGCCCTCTCCGGACAGGAGAGATCGCCGCTCCCCGGACTGGCACTTCTGCCGCTTGTATGATGGGGCACGGTTTAGGCTGGTCCAGCTGGACCTGCGGCTGCCCCAGCTGCTGCCAGAGGCCCACTGACCAAGGGGAGAGGAGCGGGCACTGGTCTGTAGATAGAGTGTTGCAAGGAAAAGACATACTAATTCAAAGGATTTTTTTTCTTTACTGTTCTTTTATCCATAGGTCATCCATGTTCTTGTCATTTGATTTAAGGCAGCTGACATTGATAAAGCTGCTTTACAAATTGACTATCTGAACTGTCATTATCCATGAACACATGCAAGACTTGGATGTAATCTCTCAAGTCTTTGTTTTGATTTTCACCTTGTCAGATAAAGTGGCTGTTACAGCAAAACGTAGATGGCCAGACTGATAATAGCCATTAATCATCATCAATCTTTATCTCCAAACAGTAGCAAGAGACAAACTATCAATTCACACACTGCTGGTGAAGCCAGATGCCAGAGAAGGCAATTTCTTTTAGCCTGCTGATATCCTGGCAAATGTTTTATCACACAAGAGAACAGCTATGCACTGGGGAAACCAATAATACTCTTACTTACAGGTGATTTATCATAGCTGGCTGGGTCTATGGAGATACTGCTGCCATGATGGGATTCATAGACCAGGGCAGGGTCGCCTGCTACAGGTAATTTGGGAACAGGCATGGGCGTCGGAGCAGTGTGGGTGATGACTGGTGGTGTCAGACTTGTCCTCATTTCCACATGACCATTTAGTGGGACTGCGGTTAAAATGCAGATGATGGAGAAAGATTAGGTTGAATGACAACCCGAAAAAATCTAGACAAAATCCCCAAGTTTTTTTTTTTTTTTTTTTTTTTGGTAGGGCAGTTCAGAAAAAAATAAATTTGCACTTATAGGGCAACATGAATGTTTCAGCACATATTTAATATAATTGGCTTGAAAGGAAACATAATGTTGAGCAGCAACACTACTATAGAAAAAGGCAAGAGCAATTAAATGTAAACAATGCTAATATTTCTGTTATTATTGATCTAAGGCTAGCAGGAGAAAAATGGGTCTTTCAGGTGTGTAACCATTTGTTTTAGTTCCCTGGTTTGCTAATATAGCTCATGGAATAGATGTCCCAGAGTTAGATGATAGAGCGACAGATTTGCTTTCACAAGCAAACCTGTATGACTGTTGCCATGGGGTTCCGCTTGGTACTAGTATATGAAACTTTACTGAGAAACATTAAGTCAGTAAAATCATATACAACGGAAAAGGAGACAAAAAGGGAGGTGAGAAAGAAAGAGGTAATAAGAACTAAGGGGAGAAAGAGTCAGAGAGGAAAGAATGCAAACAAGGAGAGAAAATAAAATAGCACAGCAAAAATAGGCAACACAGAAGATATACAGTAACTCCTTGTGGTCTGCTTCCACACCTGTATGAGACAAATGGGACAGAAAACACAGAACATAACAACTACAAAAGAAGACAAGATAACCAAAGAAAATATTTTTAAAAAGCTGTGATAATGAGCATCGGAAGCAAACCCAGAAAGACTGATCCATCTCCAGTGCCCCGAATATGCCCATCCTGATGCAGGTACATGTGTATGAAACGTGTCCATCCATCCATTTTTCATCACACTTATCCCAAGGTTCGCAAGGAATGCTGGTGCCTATCTCCAGCTGTCTACAGGCGAGAGGCGGGTTATACCCTGTCTATTGCAGGGCAACCCAAAGACAACAAACCATTCGTGCACACACTCACACCTAAGGAGAATTTAGAGAAGCCAATTAACCTGTGGGAGGGAGCCAGAGTACCTGGAGAGAAACCACACATGCACAGGGAGAACATGCAAACTCCATGCATAAGACCCCGGGCCGGGAATCACACCTGGAACCTTCTTGCTGCAAGGCAGCAGTGCTAGCAACTGTGCCACTGAGCAGTCCGATTAGAAATGTGTAAGCAGGTTTATGGTACATGAAGAGGATAGAGGGTGGCGGCACTGTACATTTGTAAGTTTCACTTTTCAAAGCTTCCGATCTGTAGAGCAGATTGTAGCTGGCAAAAGTGTTATAGATTATGCTGCTGTCCTGGTTTGATGTTGACTATAAGGACAGCCAGAAATATGCCCACTGAGTTCGATCGAGAACATGAAATCAACAGCATACAGCAGCTTTGATCAAATCAAAGGCTAATTCCAATTTTAGCATTTCTCTCGTTTCCTCTCAGAAAGTTTTGTTATTATCGCAGTCGATGTCTTACCTGAAGAGGGTTGTAAATCCTTTTTGCCGCCAGGGAAATCTTCCTTACTTCGTGTAACAGAATCAATCTCTGAACCATTTTTCAAAATATCCCCCTTGTGAAACAATTAACAAAAGAAGTATTAGAGCAGAACTTGTTCAAACATGCAGCCTTATCATATGTCAGACCAAACATAAACGTTGGGTTTAAAAGCTAATTATCATCACAAATTGGTTTATGAAATGTATCTAAAATATTCACAGTAGTTTTGGTTTCTTAAGTTTTGCATTCGTAATTTTATTAAAGCCGAAGTGTTTGGAAGCCATGTATAAATCAATTTAAAAATGTGTGATGCTACACCTTCCAAGAATTTGGGATAGAAGATGAATGGTTTTACTGAGATGCTAAATGTTTCTTACAGTTACTGTAGTATCTTAGTAACTGTTAAAGGTATGGTCCACAAAATATCTACAAATCATTATCCTTATACCTTTCTTTAAATTTATCCCTTTCTTTTGTCTAAATCTTTTCACAAGCCTTTTTCTTCTCGGTATCCCCTCTATATATGGACTTTCTCAAATAGTTTGCTGGCAATATAATGAAACTTGCAGATATACTTTTTGTATTTGTTCCACCTCACTGGTGCCTACAGATAATATTAAAAAAGCAGAGGGTGTCAGCTGGATTCTCTTTAAATGAAATGCTGACCCAGTGAGTCAGACCTCTGTGGTAGCAAAGAGAATAAACAGTAGGAAGAACCTCTGGACCAAACCACCATGTATCACCTTCTGAACTGACAAACTACATTACTGATATTTCTCACAAGCTGGAAAGAAATGCAGGTATAGATATAACATATTTTATAACTTTCACAGGAATTCTGGGTTTTCTACTTCTGTGATCACAATTGAATGTTCCTATCCTGATCTGATCTGCTTGTCCTGTGAAGCATAGGGGAAATTATGCAGAAAGAGTTTATGCTAATGAAGTAGTGGGCCAATCAATTCGAGGGTCACTTGGACTTATTCATGGTTTCTGTGATGATTCATTTCTATTTTAAGAGGTTTTTTTGCTGTTTAAAAATGTCAGCTCAGGGCATCATGTAGCAGCCTAAAGCATCTCAGAGTCAGAGTTATATTCTTTAAGGAGACATCAAAGTAAATTTGTAGAAGATATTTTTCAGACTTGTTTTCATTTAATAACTGGTTTTTAAATATTTAAGGTTCTTTAATTTGTAAAACTTTCAAACAACTTAACTAAAGACTGTTGCACCCGAGATATTTGGTGTGGTTGACTCTTTTAATGGTGGTTTCAATTATTCTACAAGTAGTTTAGAATAATCCAGTTCAAGTTTTATGTGTCTGGGTGTGGTAGTTGTAGAACTTGACCAACTCTAGTGTGACATGGACACAAAAAAAGTGTTAAAATCTGTCTCTATTGAACTTTCACAAATCAGAGAAAGATTTTACAAATCCCAGATCTGGTTTTAATTATTCTACAAGTAGTTTAGAGCAATCTTGTCCAGATTTCATGTGACAGCATTTTTTTTTAGTTTGAGAGCTGGACTACCTCTGGTGTGACATGGACACAAAAAAGGGTAAAAATTGGTCTTTATTGAAGTTTAAAAATTGGAGAAACACCCTTTATTAATTTACCGAATGGGAAGCTAGAACGGAAGCCAACTTCAGCTTTGTTACGGACGTTGAGCTCCTTTCAGCATCAACAGACATTTATTCTTCTTCTGTGTGTTCGCTCCTGTCTATGCCCGCTGGGTGATCAGAGCCCCCAAGTGGTTGTATGTATAATTTCAATCCATGACTGGGTATGACTCAAATAATTTATTAACCAGACAAATTGGGGGATACAAAATAATAAAAAATAATGTTGGGGTGCCTATTTTCATGCTTTTTGTTTCCATTTACTTATAAATTGTTTATCCCCTTTATATCAAAATATAGTTTACACTCTGTTTAATTCAGTCTGGCTGGCCAGGCTAGATCCAGGCTTTTCATGGTTTTGCTCTTGCATGCCTCTGTTATTGTATGACTTCTCTTGCAAATTCCAGTGAGATTCTGCTTAAGAATGAACAACAATGCCTTCTTGTGGACAACAGAAATACATTTTGTTTAAATTCTAATATCATTAACCATTAATTGATAATTAATTGGAAGTCAACTAACTTCTTTAAATCCCTATATATGAGGCCTTGTTTTGCTGTCTTTGCATTTAAAATAAATCCCAAACTTCATTCTAAAAACTACAGAAACCTTCATTAATGTTCCCCATGTGTCATGGTTTCGCAAAAAAAGAATTACTTAGAGAGTAGCTCATACTGACAGATATGTAGGACCAAAGACGTCTTTGCCAATAAAATGACTATAACTATAACTGTTGCCTGTGTTGATATTTATTTTTTTTATCTTTGTTTAAAAAAAAGATAAAATAATAATTGGAGAAAGAAGATAAACTTGTTAAATATTTCAAATTCAATACACCTTAACCACGTAGCCTTTATAACCAAGAGCTTGGTCCACTATCTGTTTTTTGGCAACTGTCTGCTAAGGTTCTGAAGATAATATACATGATATGAAGCCGCAGGATATAAATCAATATCTCTTGTTATTTGTTCTTTTTATGTAATTTACTAAATCATTGAAATAAAGTCTCAGCTGGTATTTGTTTTAGAAAAACAAATCCCAGCAGAATTATAGTCAGCAGCAACATTCAGCAAAAATAACATGAATGTTTCACTCTGAAATAGCTGAAATTGACTCATATAAGTAAATGGTGTTCTAACCATACAATAGCTATTAAGCAGAAAATGTGAAGGCAAAAAAATAAATAAATAAAACTGATAAGGGAAAGCGGAAACTTGAAGGTGATCCCTAATCTTAAAGCAAGATTTAGGATTGGACCTGCAAGAAGAAGATGGAGGAATTTGCTGGTTGGCTGATAATTGAGAGGAGCCAAGAACAGGAGGATCTCAACTACATTTCTTCACAAAGGTTGTCAATGGGATACAAAGGGGGCTGCTGATAACAGGAAGCCAAGTAATTGTTTTTGTATGTCTTAATGTGTATTACCAATAAAACTGCCGTCTTTCACAGCAAACTTTTAGATTAGTCAAGAACCCGATTTAGAAAATGTAAAAATTCACACATAATTTAAATCAGAAAAAGGCCAAAATAGTTTTCAGGCCACGGCTCTGCAATGAGGAGATCAGCTGCCAAATTCTAATGAGAGCATCTTCAGCCGTATAAAATTAAAACATTGCTGTGTGCTTTTTTTAATGAGTACTTTTTACCATGAAAGCCAAATATGTAGAAAAAAGTTATTTCTAATGAGAAAGAAATAAGCACAGATAAGAAAAGCTTTTCTTATCTGGGCTTACAGATAAGATATTACAGAGAACACTTCAAGAACAAGAAGAGAAGATCTACAATGACCTGTGGTTCCTGTGATCAGATGTCTGTTAAAGGACCAGAAAAGATTAAGGAACTGGATTCAACTGTTTTCTACCTAGCTGTCTGGGTTTATCTGGTTATGGTGGGAGCTTTCCAAAAAAGGGACATTTTATCTCACACCACATGTTGGACTCTATTCAACTTGATAAAATAGGGTTTTAATAGGAGATTTTAGGGAGCCCCAGAGGATAACTTGAGCTGACAAGATGGTCAGAAGAAAGTGTTGGTTAGAGTTGATAATTGGACATGATAGGAAATCTGCTTTTCAGGAGGGGAAAACTCCCACAGCAAGTCTCTAGCACTTGGTTATATCATCCGAACACAGAGGAGTTCAAAACCTTAGTTTTTTTCAGCGATAAGTGGAACCTTGCAGGGAAGACCTTTGTGGGTTTGCAGTTGATGGGATACACGTTCTGACAGCTTGTTGGAGCTTGTTTGGCAAAATGGGTGACGGGAAATGCTTTTCATCCAATCACAACTATTACAGCTAATCACCAGCTTTATAACATACACCTTTTAAATCTAGCGACTTCTATGGTCAAGCAGTTGCTCAACTGCAGTACTGATCATGGGCAACTTATCCAACTTGATATTGCCTGTTAAGCTTTTGGCTTTAAAAACTCAAAAATTTAATAAAAATTAATTTAATTATTAAAAAAGCACAAAGAAGTTTGATTACTTAAATTGATATGTACATAGAGAACCCAAGATATATTGTAATTTCTCCTTTCCGGTGTTGGCAGCTGTCCCTTGTTGGAGCATACTCACGGTTTTGATTTTTCTTTTCAGGAGTAAAGTGAAGAAATGTTTTGTTGTAAGCTCAGATTGAGCCTGGTTTTGCTGGAGGTTTCCTCCTGTTAAAGGGGAGTTTTCCTCTCCACTGTCACTACAAGCATGCCTATTCTGAGGAATAGCCTTCAAGTCAATGAGTCAATGCAATTAAATTTTTTTCCTTAGATAGAGAACTATCAATCAATTTGACTGTATAATCTGGCTGAATTGTAAAGTGCCTTAAGATGATGTGTGTTCTAAATTGGCACTATATAAATATAGTGAATTAAAAAATGAATTATTGTTATGATCAACCTAATACAACAAGCCTCATTATTGGCAACAGGATAGGCAACACACATAGAAGCCTCAATGGCAGTACTACTCCAGTGACTTTGTTGAATGTGAGTCTGTTTAACTATTGAATTCCTGTTGCTTATCTTTGTGCATGAAGAAGTTGTAAAGATAAAGGGTTGCCTTTCTAGATGTTTTATTTGGGGAAAATATATCTATTGGTTAAAAAGGTATTAGCTTTTGTCAAAATAATAATTAGTGCTCAGAGGTGTGCAGACACTGTCCTATGAATGAGTCAACTATGTCTGTTAGAACAGCAGATTTCTCCTTGAAAATGTTGTCAACCAATAAGAAGTCAGCAGTATTTTCTCATCCTGTCCTTCTTGTATCAGTAGTGCTAATTAGACCCAATGCCTGTTATTTACTCATCTTTGTAGTTGCTCATTTTTTTGCTGATTTATAGCCTCGAGAGGTGGCAGCATCCATCCAAAAGCCTTGGAAAAGCTCCCATTTACTACTCAATTGGATTGGACTGGCAAGCGCAAAGATTTTTTTTTTTCAAACTTTTGACAAAAACAAAAATTGAAACTAAATCTTCAGATTAATATTACCAAGGACATTTTAGACAGCTTTTTTTCCCTCTAAGGCTCAACAGTCTCCTAAAGGCTTCTATAACCTTGCATTACTTAGAGCTGCATGTTAATATCTACATTAATGTCTGCTACATATTAGCCTGTCAAATTATCTATGCAAAATGGCTTCCTTAATATATTCATCATTCTGTCATTTATGAGCTGTGTGTCTGCAAAGAAGAAAAAAAAAATCCTAGCTATTGGGAAGTCTATGGCCTCACTGCAAAGCTATGTAGGAAATCATGAGGGGAAAAGGAATGAAGAGGAATTGCTAAGAGGGAGCAAGATGATTAGTTGATTAAATGGAGGCAGGAAGGGAGAAAAGGCATGGCTGCAGAGCTGTACATACCCCTGAGTCTATAGGCAGCTGAATTAGGCTCAGCTGGGCATGCAAGTCCTCCCGCTTGGTAATTTCCTTTTAGCGGAAGTGGCCGGAGAGGAGAGGGAGGCACACAGAGGAGGCACAGAGGAGAGAGGTGGAACCACAACAGCAGACAAGAGCAGAAGGGAGAACATTAAAGAGGATTCAACATGTTGGAAAATGTTGACTTCATCCTAGTGAAGGACATATAAAAGTAGAACCCATGAAAAGTCAGGAAGTTAAAGGAGAAGCATGTTTTTGTTGTATTTTTGACTTAATCTCTGAGTTGTTTTTCTGCGTTAAAAGCTGGACGAGACAAGAAGCCTCATTTATTTCTGTGCATATAAAAATAGATCATTACATAAGTTCCATCACAGAAGGAAAAATCCAAACTTTCATTTGGCTTAAGAACAACAGAAGAAATAACTGGTTCAGCAACATCATTGGTGAATCAGTCTTTGGAACCCATCTAGTACCTTAAAAGATAAAAGCAAACAAAGTATTTTTTAGTTGTTTCAACATTTTATACTATTTTCGTGGAACTTCTATATAAGAAGCCATATAATCTATAAAGGACTAATTATTTTTAGCAAATAGTTTAAAGAATGGAACAGGACCTAGGTTTACCTTGCAACAACATGCATAGAGTATAAAACACATTAAACTCACTGTCAGATATTTTCAAAAAAATAGTGTCTTGAGCTTATCAGTCCAGCATAAGGACCGTTAGATTCCACCTGCATGTCACCTGGTTGTTTGGGAGTGATGGTAAAATCCAGAACAACCGTTTCTACCCTACAATAACATCTCTAATCCAAACAATTTGCACCCTCAACCATGACTTCAACTAGACTAGCTTAGTCTAAAAAGGAATAAGATAAAGCTTTTTCTTTCTAAACGTTGAGGTCGGAGTTTGGTAAAAAAAAAAAAATGAATGAATGTCTCGAAAAGCATTTCGTGCCCATTATTAAGCACCGTTATGAACATGAGATGCCATGAGCCTGATTCTTTGCCAGACGCCCTGAGAATGTTATTTGCAAACATTTCATGCTAAAATGCTTCTGAATGTCTATCATTAAATAATGGGACTTTTAATTATATATATATATATATATATATATATATAGGTCAAATGATATTCTCCTGATATAATGACCTGACAAGTACAATACCAGGGTTTCCCTTTAAAGCAGATTTAACATAAATATAAGAATTTAAACAAAAGAAAAACTCAATCAGTGTCACTTTAATAGGCATATCAACAATTTATTTATTGCTCTTTGTATAATATTGGATGAATAATCACAGCTGTAGTTTTGTTGGCTATAACAATGATATTTTGATTTTTGGGAAAGTGAAAGGAAAGAAACGTTCAAATTACGGTCATCTTATTTAATCATGGTAATAATTACACTAAGCTTAATTTACAATATGGAAAAAACAAGTCAGTGTCACTTCAAACTAAACTAAAATAAATATATTTAAGAGATTCATTATTAGGTGAAATATTTCAAGCCTTTGTTTCTTTTAACTTTCTTTACAATGGCTTACAGATAATGAAATTCTCAAAATTCATTGACCTGGGAGATATAATGTGAAAACATTAACTTGAAATTAACAGTGTCAGAATATATATTAAGCCATCCATCCATCCATCCATCCATCCATCCATCCATCCATCCATCCATCCATCCATCCATCCATCCATCCATCCATCCATCCATCCATCCATCCATCCATCTTCTGCCACTTATTCTGACAGGGTCCCTGTAGGGCTGGTGCCTATCTCCAGCACTCCTGGTAGATGGTCAGGCAGACAGGTCACAGTTCAACACAGAGACACACCACTATACACACACACTCACACCTAAGAAACATTTTTGGGAAGCCAATTAAACAGTCCTGTTTTTGGACTGTGGGCGAAGCTGGAGTACCCAGAGTAGAATCCAGACATGCAAAGGGAGAATATGCAAACTATGCAGAAATACCCAGCGCCAGAAACCAAACCCAGGACCTTTTTGCTTCAAAGCAACAGTAATAAAAACTGCCCCATTGTGCAGCAATATTAAGCTAAAATAAATTACCGGTAAGCAATATGCGGGTGAAGATTCTTAGTCAGTTTTTTTTTTCCAAGTTTGAAGACGTTTTGCTTCCCAGAAAGCTTTCTCAATTCAAAAGGCTTTATAGAATTGCCCAACAGAAGCGAGGAAAAACAGAAGCCTTCTTATGGCTTAGAAAACATGTGAATTGAACCAAAACAGGTCCATCCCTTTGTAAAGGGGAGTCGTTAACTTAAACTTGCAGGTCAACAAAGACCTAAACAATGACCTTAACATTTTGGATTGAGAAAGCTTAAAAAAAGGTCCAGTGGTTTTGTTTTTAACTTTTTTTGGAATAAATGAAGTAATCTACCAGGAAATTTCAGAGATCTTTATGGTTCTCTTTGCAGGCCAAAAATGTATTTTCCAGCAGGACTTGGCACCTGCTTAGGCTGCTTGGGGCACCAAATGCTGGTTTAATCACCACGTCTTCAGTGTGTTTGGCTGGACTGCAAACTGGCCTGACCTGCAACCCCTGGAGAATCTATGGGTTCTGCTAAGAGGAAGATGACAGACACATGACTCAAAGATCCAGGTGAGCTGAAGGCTGCTATCTAAGCAACATGAGCTTCCTCGCAGTTCAGCAGAACCACAGGATGATTGACCCCCCATGCCTGGATTGATAGAGTAATTCATGCAAAAGGCCCCCCAGCCAAGTATTGACTACAGAGCAGTGGAATTTAAAAAAAAGTCTATTTCAAATACAGATATCCTTAATTTATTGTTCTTGATTTATAATGCAGTTTTCATGGACATAGAATTTTGCTTTTCATTAACTCTAAGTCATAATCATCATGCCTGAAATGATTAGCTCTATGTGTATTAATGTAGAACCATTTCACATTAATCCACATTTTCAGATGAAGCCTTTGATAACATGAGAACAGCCCAGAATAAAGCTGCTCCATTAAACCAGAGAAGACTCTGTCCAGAAAATTCTTTCACTTTTCATCAAAGAGACTTTTAATCATTAGAAAGATGTCACATAAGATTTAGGTGATATTTAAACCCTAACCGTCTGCAACTGTGATATACCTTTAGACTGTTCACTGTGCCATGTATGCTTAATGGAAAGGGTCTGTTACCAATAAACCAGTGTTCAAGATATTAAGATTATAGCTTCTAAAACTGGTTTTGTTTGTCATACAGCTTTTAATAGACTAGAAGAGCAACTGAAATGTTTATCTCAACCATAGGGAGCATGTTTCTGTGCTTCTTGGTTAAAAGGTTTTTCTAAAAAGGCTTCCCATTTGTTCTTTATACAGCTGTGGAAAGATTTAAGGTGGTAATAAAGCTAAGATCATTCATAATTGTATGCAAACAAAGACTGTCACCTAAGAAAACAGCTTTGAAACAATATTTGACAAAGTCAGTTCTGCCTTTTAAGCAATTTTACTCCAATTAAAGCTGTTATATTGTAAGAATTGAACTACATCCAAACTATTTCCTTTTCTACTGATTGAAGGGAGACACACAAAGCAGCAAAATAAAGGGTGCCAATAACTTGAACAGTGTTATTTCTGATTTTAAACTTTTCTGAATGTGTTGATAGATAGATAGATAGATAGATAGATAGATAGATAGATAGATAGATAGATAGATAGATAGATAGATAGATAGATAGATAGATAGATAGATAGATAGATAGATAGATAGATAGATAGATAGATAGATAGATAGATAGATAGATAGATAGATAGATAGATAGATAGATAGATAGATAGATAGATAGATAGATAGATAGATAGATAGATAGCACTCATTGCAGTGGAAAATCTAGACTCACATGGACACTGTAACTGGCTGAAATAGAAAGACAATGTGAGCTGTAGGAGCTACAATAGGAAGGGGGTGCTGTGGCATATATAGCATGAAGGAAGATGGTGGATCCAGTGAATAAAAGAATGATAGTAAAGATTAAAAGTGTTTCTACAGGGTGTGGTGGTGGTGTGAGAAAGTCTTAGCACTACAGTTGAGCACATCTCCTAGCCTGGCCTACGTCATTCAAGAAACCGGTTACCTGGCAACCCTGACGTAGGAAAAGTTAGCTGTCTAAAAATAAAGTTACTGTTTGCAGAAGAGGATGCTAAGATGATAAAAAGAAGTAAGGTAATGTTAATGCAACACTTCTTCCTTTTTGGCGGAAAGGGAAGAATGGAGATTAGGTGTTTGAGCATAAATCACATACTTGCCAACTAGTTAACCAACATCTTTCAACATCTTATCTAAGACAAAGAAATCTCACTCAACACATTTTCATGTCCTGCACTGTATCAGTCGGCCTGTTGCTATGTTCTAATAATTTAACAGCCTCTACTATAGGCTAAATGAGCTTTTGAGAAAAAAGCTGGAAAGTATGGAAATCTGAACATAAACATTGAAATAGGGTTTATCCCTGGCTTACCAGAAGATGGCAATAATGTGTGTCCTAGAGTGGAATACTTCTCCCTGGAAATTTAGCTTGTCGTGATCTTGGTGCTGATGGCTGTCTTAACTGCTCATTCCATTCACCTGTCTTACTCTGCCCGGTTGCTCATTACTGCTCAACTGATCCACCTGCTTCTGTCTCTATTTAATTGTACTTGCATCCAGCCATCAGCCCCAGATTCTCTCGTTCTCAGGGGCCAGTGCTGAGAGGGGTTTTTAGCATACCATAGTGTTTCTAATTTCCTGATCCTGACCTTTTCTGCCTCTCATCCACTGAGCCTGCATGTTCCTGTCTGAACGGTCTGCCTGAACTTTCTGTGCACTCTGAACTAACCTGTTCCTGCTCTGATCTGTATACCTGACCAGGCTTCGGACTCCTTGACCTCTGCCGCATCTCGTTGGCAGCCCAGTGTCTACCTCGTTCTCTGGCGATGGACTGAACTGTCCTCCGTCAGATTATCATGGTCACTAACCTGTGTTTATCTCCTAAAAGAGTTTCCAGTGATAGACACTTTAGCCGCTGAAACCTAGGGTCCACAGCCCACTCTTTTGAAATAAATGCTTTGAATTATCCAAGTATCTTGCTTTGAATACTGGGTTCTCCTGTCCTGTGTTCTAACATCGCTTTACTGATTCTTTGGATACTTTATGAACATCTAAAAACAATTAGGTTATTTTTGGCTTTTATTTTGTGACGTTATCATGCTTTTTTTTATTTCTACCTTTCTAAAGTAAATAAAAAAAAAAGTGAATCCTTTTATTGTCCCACAAAGGGGAAACTCACTCTTATGTGGGGGTTGAAACAGGTACTTGAAACTTTCTCAGAGCACAAGTGCACTGCTCTAACCCACTAGGCCATCACTCCCAATACTATGTCCAACCTACATTTTCTTTCTCTTCCGTAGTGTTTAGTGACTTTCTGTTTGCAAAGTCACCTTCACTTATCTACACATTGATGTGGACAGTAATGGCACATCAGAATTTAGCGATCGGAGCTCTTTCCTTTGAAACCATTTGCACATTTTAGCCATTAGGTTTTTTTCGGCATACATTTAAAATAGATGGTAACTTTAAAACTGTGATTTAGGTTTTTGGTAATATAGGACCAGGAGAAAAATTATGTAAGGTGTGGTTGTGGGCTACATGGGCTCGTGCAAACTCTAGTCTCTCAGTATTTTTCTTTGCTGCATTGACAAATAAGCTGAGCAATAGTGAGGATTAGTGTTAGAAAGATGGGAAAGAGTGGGAGGTGGCAACGCTGCCAGAATAACAGAAATGAAGATGAAGGAGAAAAAAAAGGATTTAATGTAATCATATATCCAACTGCAAAGAGTGCAAGATATTCTTTTTGCACCAATAAGCATTTTTACATTATTGTTGAAAGAGTGGTGCAAAAAAAACAAAACACTGATATAAAAGGCAAATTTACTTAAATAAAAAGAAAAACAAAAAAAACAAGAGCTGAGCTGAGCGATATAAGGCTGACCTGGGGCCTCATGTGCAAAGTATACAAGTAGTACGAAAAACTTGCGGGGTAATATTTTAAGCACGATAATCTGCCAAAGAGTACAGTAATTCCCCCACAAACACGTTTTATATGCACTTGTCCTTAGAAATGTCTGCTGTTTCAGTGGTGTACTGTAATGCTGTAATGTAAGAAAAATGTAGGTAAGTTTGCTTTCCTGGGAACCATGTTGAAAATGTGTAATATGGTTAGGTATTAAAAGAACCAGTTTACTTCACCCTACATGCTTTATTATCATTACATGAATTATGATCCTGTTTATAGTTTGATGTGCATTATGCAGACTAAATGAACAATACTGTATAACCTAACCTTGAGGGATTGCATTCGAGTCAATGAGTCGATGCAATTACCTAGTTTTTGTTGGATAGAAAACCTTGAATCAGTTTGATTGTATGATCTGGTTGAATTGTTTCCATAAATTGCCTTGAGATAACATGTGTTGTGAATTGGCACTATATAACTAAACTGAAGTGAATTGAATTGATAAGTGCGGCAGGAATACAAACATTTTCAAACGAAAAACCAAACTCACTCAGTTGCACTGAAATGTATCCCAATTCAGTACTTTTAAACCCAAGTACTAAAAACCTGTATTTTCCTTATCACTGCTTTAATAAGTTACATTTTAGATTTTTATTATTAATAAATGAGCCCTGACCTAAATCCTATAGGGCATCTTAGGAAGAGGGAAACACTCTGACTGGAAGAGGCAACTTTCAAACAAGTGTGGCAGTTTTTTCATGAGGAGTGGGTCAAACTACCTACTGAGAGTCTCATTAGCAGTTAAAGGAATCACTTGATTGCAGTGATTAGTTAAAAAGTTTTGCTACAAAATATTAAGGGTAACATAATTTTTGTCCAGACTGTTTCATTAATTCATTTTCAGTTTATTTTATTTTACAGCTCACCTGTGCACATTCCCAGGAAAAGTAAATCTGCATAATTACCGCCTAATAATGCCATATAAGGCTACATTTGAATGGGAAGGCTGTGGCTTCTAAACGCTTGTTCATTCACAGAAATGGCATTGAAGACGAAGAAGAGAGACTTTACCAGTTCTGAGATCTTGGTTCTGCTGACTGAGAGCTGAGCAGCAGAGTTAAAGGGCCAGTAAAAGCCAAGCAGTGAAATAAATCACAGGAGATGTTAATGTTGTGGTTCTACTGTTACAAAAATAATAAATAAAAAAATACTAATAATAATACTAAAAACTTTGACCACTGTAGGATTTTCTTACATTAAACCAGGGATGCCAGGAATTTTGTCCATGTATAAATCATATTTTTTCTTAGACAGCAATGTATTCCTCAATTTTGCTAATGGTAAATGTGTATCAGTATGTGTGCCAAGACTTTATTTTAGCTCAGCGCATGTCCATAAATAGGTGTGCAAAGGCATGCGGGACTATGGAAGGATGACAGCCTTTGCACTGCTGGAGGACATCGCCAATGAAAGAATGTGGAGGGAGTTTGCTACCACAGGATAATGCATGATCGATTAGCAGGTTTAGATTGACCAGAGAGGCACTGGAAGGAAACTTGTGTTGGCCATGTTGATGTTACACTAGTTCTAATGCATTCTGTGGAGTGTTTGGAGCTGATTTCAAGCCAGCCAAATGGGATGACCTCACTTGTATTTTTCTCAGGTATATAATATAAATATAATATGAGCTGTGCCTGAATACACTTAGTTGGAATTTAGTAGTTTCAAAAGTATTTATTACTGTATTTCTACTGCTGTGAGAGCAGCATCTGTGATGTAAAAAATGTATGAATAGATTTGAGCTCAAAGCAGCTGATCCATGGAACATTTGGACTTGATCCATTTTTTTTTTTTTTTTTTAAGTTATGAGCTTTTTATTTTTAGCTACTTTATTTAAAGATTTGTTAATGTCTCTTAAATACTTGGCCGCCTACAACAAATGTCCTTGAGGGATTTTGACAAAGTCTCTGTAACTGCCTCACAACCAGGCGCGCTGGAAGCTGTTTCAAGCGAGGGGGGCTGATGGCTGGGTTGGAAAACACGTGACGTCATTATGTTGAGGGCTGTGGCTGATGTTTTTAACATAATATTGTAGGCCTACATTTGTCGCCAAGAACTGCCATTTAAAATAAATCGGAACAAAGCATGAACATTTTAAACTTTATTTCTTCTCTTTTCATAATTCAAAACAAACAACAGCTTCCAATCAACAGGATCAGGAATACTTGAATGAAACATGGCCTAAATATAGCCTAAACTGAGCATTGAACGTCTTGAAAGTCCATTTGACTATGGATATGGGGGAATGATTTCATATCTGAAACAAAAAACACACAAAAAAAACCAAACTAATTTCATATTTTATCACTAATTAGCTTAATACAGACATAATATTTAGTGATATGCAGCCTTATTCTAGCGTAGACTTCTTCAGCCACAGGACTACGACAAATAGGCACAGCATATAGAAATAAATAAGAAATAAATAACGCTAAATAAATGCTCGGCGGCAGTATAGGGGAATTAAAACCATTTCTTACCTCGAAATAGTCAGAAATACTTTTCTGCTGCCTATTGCTAGCCATGCCTAAACGAATGTGAGGTGGCGGAAGCTTCCGGGGGAGTAGCCTAGTTTTTTATGAAATATTAAAATAATGAATCATTAGTTTTTATCTTATACACAGCCCATCATTTTTATCCCATATCAAACACAGTCTTTTAAAAAATAAATACATAAATAATTTCATGTTTTTAAGTACAATATTATGTTACTCCACAGCCCCCCACCATGGGGGGCTGATGCTATGACGAGGGGGGCTGCAGCCCCCGCAGCACCCCCCTTCCCGTGCCACTGCTCACAACAGCATCCTTTTTTATCAGGACATGTGATGGGGGCCTTCCTGGTTTTCTACTGATTTATTTTGGGATAGGGCTAGAGAAAATACACAGAAACTTTTTTGTCAGTTCCATGCAAATTGGGATGTATGAGGGTAAAGTGAGTTGTTATTCGTGTATACAGGGTTTCCTACTTCAATTTTTTGTGTGTGCCGCATATTGGTCTCTCCCAGCCACAATCTTTCACTATGAAAGCTGCACATTCTTTTGTACATGAGGCCCCAAAACAGTGTTAACCAAGCAAAAAGCTTCTTTTGCATCCTTTGTAGGCACAGTGACCTATAACCACATGCTCATTCTAAAGAATATATATGTTTTACCTCAGTCTGAAATCCTTCAACTAGGATGGCCACAAGCAAGTTGAAGAGAACATAGTTTCCAAAAGTCATGAGTGCGATGAAGTAAAGTGCTGCTACAGGAGAGGTGGCAGCCATGCCATTATATAGCACCTTGTTCCAGTCCTCCTGAGTCAGGATCTGGATAGAAAGGGAAAGAAGAGGATTTTAGATGAATAAGGAAGAACATTTATGTGCAAAAACTGAAGGTCTTGTTACTACAGTTTTGCAGTGTTTTGCAAAACCATAACCTTTAGTTTTTTTAGTTAGATTTTATGTGATAGACTAAACTGAAGCAACTGTAAAGAAAAAATATAATTATCATCAACTATGATGATGTGTAAATGTAATGAAAATTGAAAAAGAGGAATACAACAGGAAGAAAATATATAAAAAGCTACCATAAAGTATGAGGTTTACTTTCCTGCAGGTAACAGAAAATACCACTTACAGTATTAGAGATCCCCTGTTATGTATGTTTTATTATAGACACCAGCTCAGTGCAATGGACAGAGTCATTTGAGGATTAGAGCCTGACTGAAAAATCTTGAGCCAACAATTCAGGTCGATTTTAGCACCTGGCTCATTAATTGACATCTGATGAAATCTGGCCGATATAAAAATTCTAATCCAAAATTAAACTTTGCCGCTCGCTAATTGTGGTTCTCTGCCCCTCTCTTTCTGAGTGCGGCTCCACAAAAATCCTTAGCTGCAGTTAGCAGAGAGAAGCAGGGAGGAGCAGAGCAGAGCAAAGATGGAAAAACAGAAAGTTTGCTCCATGGCAACCTGCGACTTAGTTAAACTGTATAAAACTCATGAGCAGATGAGTTTTATATACACTAGTTTTGGCAGCCATACTAGCATTTAAGCTCTGTGTAAGATGCCTCTGTAATATACACAAGATGTTAGGTTTTAGAGGAAGAATAAGCTTATTATATTGTATCCCATTACACTTTATACTAACATGCAGGTTGTGTTGCAGCTCATAAATTCAGAGGTTGATCTTTTCCTTAAAGTAAATTTTAAAAGGCTCGAAATAATGTATTTAGTTGTAATACATTGATACTGAAACCTTGTTAAGTCTCTTATGTCAAATAGAGAAGGGCACTTTTCAGTAGCTTACAAATATGACATATTTATACATTTATTATTTATACATTTAGCCTGTGTTATCACTTTAAACTATATTCAGCCACTTGAATTTATGAAATTGAACTATTAATCTGCAGCATTCAAATCTAAAGTATAGTTGTATGGTTTAAAATAAAGCATAAATAGGTGTTATTAATGGTCTAAGCAAAGTTCAGATTTAAATCCAATTAATAGAAAATAGCCTCAAATCCACAAATATGTCAGCAAGAACAGCACTTACAGAATGAATTTTGCCAAACCCTAGAAAGTTGAATGCAAACGTTCAAACCAAATTATGAATAACTATTAATGTTTATTTACAAACTATTATGTGAACAGCTTGTTCAAAAGATTGGCCTTTTCCACTAACAGTGTCCAGACCCTGGGGGCAAGACTACTCTAATTCCTTTCCTAAGCCAATCATCCGAGTGCATGCCATTTCATGGCATCAATGTCCTCTGCCGGGATCTGAGAGCCAAATAACTTATTTCATTCATGTCAAAAAATGTTTTGTCTGTGTGAGTCTGTCTAGGTTAAGATGGTAGCAGGAGAGTGTCAAACCATGAGAAAGTATATTAACCCAAATACATTTTTTTCAAGAATTAAAGGAATGGGCTCTAGAGAACTGAACAAATTGGGATCTACTCCAAGAAATTATAAGACAGCAGTGGGTAACTATCAGTCAGGTGAAAATCCTCTAGTGACATTAGAAACAAAATACTAATAAAATGGGGGTTAGGTCTTACCTGAAACACTGTCACTATGGCCCAAAGGAGGGAGTCAAAATTTTTTCTGTCCGGAATTGTGACTCCATCTTTCTCAGAGCAAAACTTACAGCCAAACAGATGCATCCCCAGTATACTGGCAGAAGAGTGGGGAAGAGGGGAGAAACACAAACAGGAAAAGGAAGGACAAATGTTTACAACAGATCTGTTTATTAGATACATTATTACTGATTGAAAATATTTATGTTACCTCCTCGATTAGGTGTTATGCAATGCAAAATGCTTATATGTGCAGTTTATCCACAACCCCAACAAGACGTTGAATTTTGTAACCTCCAATAAATTTAACCAATAAAGTTCAATTTAGATACATTTTGATCGACCCCCACCTCCATCAACAATGAGGATCCACCAAGCATCCCCTGAGACAGAACTCAGTGTTGGAAGGTGAAGTGAAATGGTAGCCCAGTGCATTTCAGCACCATGGACAGCGTAACTGTCAACACGGCGTACATTCATTGTATGCTGCATATTGGACTGGCACAGACTTTTTACAGGCACTGGGAAGATAAGCTATACTGCTTCAGTAGATAATTTATTTTGTTTTGGTAGATTTTGTGAAAAATACTTTCTATGCTGTATAATATGTACTGTATGTCTCCAACCAACAAAAATATAATTAGAAGGGGATGAAATTGGCTTCAAAAATCATGCATTCCATTACATTTTGTATATATACAGCCCTTTTGAATACGCTAATTTCCAGTCAAATATATAATTTAATGTATCTCATTAGGAGTTAATGTGACAAGTTTATATATATAAAAATAATAATAATAATAAGTGACCTTATACATATAATGAATACCAAAAATCTTTCTATTTGTGAATATAGAGCTGATGTGCCTTAGCGAAAATTTCATTTTTTGTCTCATCTGTCCAGGTACATTATAACAGAGGTTTAGTGGTATTTCAACATGTAGCTTGGAAAATTCCAGCCTGTTTTTTTTTTTTTTTTTTTAAATCATTATTTTTCAACATGGTGTTCTCCTTGGCTGTCTCCCATCATGCCCACTTTGGCACATACCACAACGGTTGTTGCAATCTGCCACTGATGTTCCTTGAGCACAAGGTTCACCTTAAATCTAATCAGATGCTGTTCTGGGCTCTTTTTTTTTTAACATTATCTGTTTCTTTGTTTTGTCAAGAATTGTCCTCCTAAAACCACATCCAGGTAGGCTAACCAACATCCCTTGACGTGGAAAATCTGATCTCCAATTTTTGATTACAAAAAGGTTTTTGAAAATGCAATCACAGGAACATCAAGCTGCTTGGAAATGCTCTTAAAGCCTTCTCTTTAACATGCTTGTCTATAATTGTATTTCTGATCTCCTGAAAAAACTCTTTTCCTCAGTTCCTCTCATCCATGATCAGTGTGATACACACCATGCCACCAGTGACCACATGCAATCCTATATATAGGCCCTATATAGGCCCACTGATTGATTAATTGATTTACTTTATTGATCTCAAAGTGGAGGAATTTACTAACAAGATGGACACCTGCGATGCTAATTAGTGAATACATCATGATTAAACATTTCCTTTGGTTACATTATTATTATCATTTCTAGGGGCATAATTTTTTTCCAAGTCTGTTTCAAGAGTAATTTTTTCCATTATTATTCTAAAGCATGGAGGAAAACCAGTGTTCAATTTGACTATTTTGATAGAATTTTAAAAAAATTACCATTGTCGGTTTTTCTTTTATGAAACGAGGGGCAACACGCAATTTTGTCCAATTGTGTAAGTAGAATTTGAAACTAAAGCCTTCTATTATAGCTTTGGTTGAATGTTTAGATTGGTTGTTAGACTATCCTCCGTCCCAGTTTCAGCTTTTATGAAAATGCTGAATTCATGCTCAGGCATCTTCCCATCAAATTTTACCCAATCAATCAGTCCAGGATAAACTTCCCCAAAGCATTAAGCATGCCAACATAAATGTCAGAATCTAGATATGCTGAGATCAGGGTGACGTTTAGTGTCAGTTTTCCTACACACATAGCATTTTGCATTCATGCAACATTTTTTTTGTTTGGGTTGGTTAATCAAATACAGCGCTAATAAAATACTTTTAATGTTGTGGTTAGAACTTCACCAGATGTTGAAAATAAATAATAACCTTTGAAAATTTTGACAGGTATTCCGTATTTATTGTAAATACTGAAAAGGTTGGGTGTAGCAGCTTTACAGTAATATACTGTATACTACATGTACAGCATGTGTGTATTGACTGCTGAAAAAGACAGATGTAGAGTCAAAGCTGCAGAAAACAGAAAGGCCATGCTACATCAGACAAGTAATTGTGGGTGTTATTGTTATGACAGGCCAGATACTCTGCTCTGCACTCTGCCTTTTACTGTGAAAAAAAAAAAAACAGACAGTGAAATGCAACTAGAGCCAAGGGATCAATGCGTCGGCCTTTACTGGGTCAGCTTGACTGCTGTTTGTTCAAATCAAGGCCTGTTTGTATGCAGATACAGGGAATACAGGAAAGTTATGTGTTTATTTGAGAATAGACGTGCACTGAAGCATGCCACAGGCATGCAGTCTGCACTAAGTGTTTCTGAAAACCTTCAGCTAAATTATTCCTTTTACTAATCAAAGGCAATCATCATCACATTTTAGAGCCAGAAAACTTGATAATTGTTAAAGCATAGAAAATAAATAAACCAAGGTTTAATCTTCCAGTATTTTGTACTTCACCTCACAAATAGAAAACATACAGTACTTGCACTGTGCTGTATCAACAGAGCACAAAAAAAAAAAAAAAATGAACAGGAAATTAATTTTTAAGAATAAAAAATAGCATTTTTGACAGGAATGTTTCCTGTAAATGCAAACAAAGGTTTGATTAAATTCTTTTACTTTATACAAGATATCTCATTATTCACCTTTATGGAATATATATGCAATGGAAGGAACAGTGGTTGATGTTTGTGATCATAAAGTTTCTCAGGAAGGAACATTTACTTTTCTACTGTGAGTTTATGTTGCATCAGTTTTGGGCTTACATTTTCAAAATGATTAATTGTGATTAATCAGTTATTGAAAGAATCATCCACTGATTTAGTGATCAATTAAGACTTGAAACTCGGAAATATGCCTTTAGCTGAAAAAGCAACCCACTCAAAGCAGTTGTTCTAAAAGCATATGTAAACGTTTTGTATTCAAGATGAAAAATCTTTTTTGTTCATTAATATACTCTCTCCAGAAGTTGTTAGCAATTTTAGCTTCCCTTAGTTTAAATTCTGTGTAAAATCTTCTTTAAAGAAAATTTTGCCATCTGATTTTGAAGTTCTTTTATTGGGTTTTAAGTCTCTCCATGGTCTTGCTCCATCTTATCTCTCTGAGTTGCTGTACCTTCAAGCACCCTCCTGTTCACCTATGTCAGCCAATCAGCTGCTTCTTGAGGTGCCAAGAACTAAACGGAAGCTTAGGGGCGTTCATGCTTTCTCTGTGGCAGCTCCAAAAATGTGGAACGACCTTCAATTGTAAATTGAATTGTCTACTTCTTTCTCCAATTTTAAGTCGCTCTCAAAACTCATCTCATTGCCTTGGTTTTCTAAACTGTGTGAGATGTTGATTTTAGTCTGTGATCCATTATTTTAAATTACTTTTATTTTATTATAGATTTTATAGTTCTGATTTAAATTTTTTTCTTTTATGCTTGTATGTTTTTTTTGAGTCTGTGTAATGGTGATATGTTGTTTAACCGTACAGCACTTTGGTCCTTGAAAGATTTTAAAGTGCTTTATAAATAAAGTTGGATTGGATTATTAATCGATTAAACGAAAAAAGGAATCAACAGATTAATCAATTAGCAAAATCGTCTTAGTTTGCAGACCTGTATCTGTAAAATATATTGGATGATGTCATGATGTTGTCACATCAACGCCTCACTCCAAACTGTCTTGAAAATGATAATGATGATAGTTACTTAAATTATTGACTTTATTTTCAGTTTTTTCACTTAACTTAAAAAAAAACAATTGTTTACGATTGGTTTGTTGTTAGTTTTTTTCATGTAAATGTATTGTAGATGGATTAACAGAGGTTTTGACGGGTCACTCGTGTCTTCTGAAAAAAAAAATGTTCAGCTACATTATTTAAATGAAGTCAAAACCTCAGATGAAATCAGAGCATCAAGTGAGACTTTTAGCTGCTTCTGTTCATTTCCACTGATTTATAACAGCTCTTCCAACTACCTGAAGATGAAAATGAAGAGCATGAGCAGCATACAGAAGGTGGCCACGTTGTCCATCGTCTTCATCAGCACCACCAGCTGCCTCTGCAGAGCTGGCATGAAACGGACCAACTTCAAGACCCGCATTAGTCGGAACGTTCTCAGCACAGAGAGGCCACCATCCTGCCTTGCCACAATCTCCCAAACACTGTAACACAAATAAACACACAATTACTTTCTGTATATGTCATGAAATCTATTATTCTGTTAGTAAGATCTGTATCTTACTTATTCTAAGTTTATTGGGTGGAGTTCTCAATCATAGGAGAATACTTATTTTCATCAAGCTACTAAATAATGTTCTTATGATAAAAATCTATTTCATTAATCATTTTTACAAAACAGCCATCTACAGTATATAAAAACTGTTGTGTGATTAAACTTGCATTTATTTATCCCTTTAGTTATTTTTGGGACAGCACCAAAAACTGTCTATCAAGCCAACAGTTAAGGCTACTGATGTTAGAAGCTTTCTGCTCTTAATAAACTTGTAAAAGTAAAGAGTTTATTCATTTGAAAGGGTCCGCCGCCCCTTGTTGTTAAACTTAAAGAAAACAGAACAGAATCTTTTCTGATCTTTTTCTGTTTTTCATGGGGGACTTCAGAACACCTTTATCTTTTATCAGCGATCACAAACTTTGGTTAATTACCTGATCACCACAATAATGCCATCAAAGATGTTGTAAGGATCTTTGATGTAGCCAAAAGGTCCATAGACTAAAATGTTGAGAATCATTTCCAGGGCGAACAGGCTGGTGAAGACAATGTTGCTGATCTCCAGGGCATTGGTCAGCTCCACCGGCTACAAAGACAGAGGTAAACCAATCAGGGGTTTAATCCATGGTGACAGAAAATGAAAAAGATTAAGAGAATAACAAACATTGTCAAAATAAAGTATCGTTGAACAGAAGTGTTTCGTCATTTTTACACATTTTAAAATGGACATGTAACATACATTAGTTATTTAAAGTGTGAATATATGGCAAATAATCCTATTTCAGACTACATTTGAATATACGTATTGCATAAACCAGAGACAGAAAGGAAGGAAATGGTAAGCAGTTAATGTGCTTGCACTTTTAAAGTGCTTTTTCAAATCTGCAAGGCTGCAATACAGAGGCGCCACAGAGCCCTCTGACCATCATCAGTAGGCAATGGGGGTGAAGTGTCTTTCCCAAGGACTCAACGCCTCCGCTAGATGGAGCCGGGGTTCAAACCAGCCTTAACCCGATCTGGCTAAGTCTGCTTGATGCAGGACAAACTTCTCTTCATCTTACGCTACTGTCACCCCCAGTGATAAAAGTGCAAGGATTAAAGGGAAGCAATGAATACAAAAGAAAGAAAAACAGGTCAAAAGTAAGACAAAGGACAAATCCAAGGACATAAAGAAAACTGACATGAATACAGGAGGATTAAAAAAACAGCATATAAAGAAAAGAAACAGGCAACATGATATGAATCAGTTTGTAAATAATTATAATAATGCATTTTGGAAACAAAAAATGTGTCCATTCTTTTTCATTTCCATTTATATGCAAGAACATTCCTGGAAAGGTACTTAATCGCATTTTTTATTTCCTAATTTTCCTTATATATCCTGGTCAAATGACTCACACATCAACACCTGCTGCTTCAAATACGCAAATAGAAATATGCCAATGACAGCATACTTCTCTCAAACATATAAATCCACCTGGGCATATTTCTCTGCATAAAATAAACACGCTCAACCTTTTGTCCCTCAGCAAACAGACCAAACACTGCGCCCATGATTCTCAAAGCTCATCAGAGATTCAAAATGCCCCTCACATTTCCATCAAACAGCATGTGAGTGTATATATGTGTCTTGTTTGGTGGGCAGGTTGGGGTGTGCGAGCATTTGAACGCGGCGAGACAAACAGGCACTGAGAATAAGCAGACAGAAAGATAGAACATGATCCCAGAGATAAAAGGAGCGGCACATCCAAATACGACAAGCAATGGAAATCAGACTTCTATAGGGAGATTATCAGTGAGGAGAAAAAAGACACAAGGACGTCATCATGTGTCTGTGGACAGTGAAGACAGGCTTCATGGGGCCTTTCATCTCCCTGCAATAAACATTTCACACAACTTTTATCAAGCAGCATAACACACACACTTCACATGACATGACACGGAGGATAGAAGGTGCCCAGGACTCTGATCCAGGTCCACATGCCTCGAATCAAAAATGTGCTTGCTGTTACTAGTAATGAGATCTATCTACAAAGTACTGGATGTGTTGCTATGAATAGATCCGCTGTCCCTGCAGAAATGATACCCATTTTTAACAAGTAATGTAATGTAATGTAAGCACTGAGCATGTCATTGAATCCAGCCTGGTGGGCTGCCACTAATCACAACACAACATGACTGTGTGTGGTGGGGATTACTCAACACTTGCATTTTCACACAGACAGAAGGAGAAATATGGAGATTAGCATCTAGAGCTGAATAACAGCTCCCTTTCAAACATTGAGACACAATCTTTATTTAAATCACATAAGCAGCAGAGTCAGTTGGTGATGATGAGATACTGGCATTGCTGATTTTAGAAATTATTTAGTTTATGCAGAAAAAATAAAATTCCAGTCTGGTTGAATTATATTCTCAGGGGTTTATTCCCACCAAATTAAAATTAGACTATAATATTTTTAAAGCACTTCAGAAGGTACCTCCTTATTGTTTTAATCTGGCCAACAGTGTAATAAATATGTTTTCCATGGCTAATTTAGAGTCACAATGAATCAATTTCAGTTTTAAAGCCTATTAGATATGGAAAAAACAGTCTTTTTAATGACTTGATCAAGAAAAACCCCCATGTGCATTGGGGTCCATGTTTCACCCATCATGGCCATTCTCTAAAAGAACAAAAATTGAAGGAAGACCAAAAAAGTCCTTTATGAGAAAGCCGAGACACTAGTTGGATGTGCAGATGACTCGTCAGTCCAAATCCAACGCCTACTTTTTATTAAACAAATCAGCATATTGGGAAATGACATCAAGTTCACAATTAAGGCATATTTTGAGCATGATCTATCCTCTTCAACAAGGTTGAAACTTATGATAAAGTTACAGTACTGTATACCTGCCTTCACAGTGGATGAAAAATTAAGCATCCACTCTAACCCCTTTCAATACATAGGTCACTATCCAAACTATATATTCTAGTGGACATGAAACCAGTTACCAAAGAAATTAAGTTGGAAACTGAGTTTTAATTTGTATTCAGACTCTTAAACACTTCAAGCCAATTTATTAACACTTGCTTATATAAAATTCAAATCAATTGTGATCATTGTATTCAGACATTTTTGTGTGACTAAACTTTTCTGAAACTGCTTAAACAACAATAGAAAACTCACATAACCTATGTGGAATATTTGTAGAATCGACCAGAGACGATCAAAAACACAAAGAACCTCAAAAGGCCAAAGATGTTGCAATCTGAATATGATAAAAGCCGACCTGCTGGTTTGAGACATAACGGATAATCACAGGGCTTTCAGGTCAATGCTCTGGTGAACTCATTTTTTTTTTTTATTTAAATAATTTTTTTCTTTAATGCAGTTGTCAAGAAATGTCACTTCAACAAATGAAAGTACGTATGGGAATATATTCTAAAACACAATCCAAGTTTTCTCATCTTAAATATATATCAGTGTTTTATCGTGATTTGAAACGTTTAAGAAAACTACAAGTTAAGAGACGCCAATACTCTTACAATGTGACTTAAAATAACCCAAAACCAAATGATTTAATAGGTAGATAAATCATTAGGTTCAGAAAGTATTTCGTCATCCCCAGTTCACTGGGAAACCATGAGCTACCAGTCAGCCAGTTGAACGAAGAAGCTACTCTACAGAGAATCAGGCCGTTTCTCAATATGTGTACTTCACTTGTGCGTTCTCATGTGCTCATGCTTGTGAAACATCATCAGCCTAAGCCCTACGACTTTCCAAATCATAAGAACAGAAGACCGAGAAGGTCACTGGATGTTGTTCTCGCCCATCCCTATTTACCATGGATGCATCAGAGCAGACTTGTCTGTTCTCCAGACTGACAGCTGACCCAGCATGCACTGCGGCAGCAGCAGCTTCCAGTGGAGCACTTACAGAGCTCAGAATTTTAAGTTAAAAGTTCAATTTCTGTTGCCGTTGTTCTACTAAAGTACTTTTTAAGATCACTTGAGGCAAGAATATATTACTTTTAACCTCACTAAATGACCCATTTACTGATTTAGTGGGTAATTTAAAAGAAGTTCCCATGTTGAGAGGACAGGGGCAACCAGCACACCTCCGACGCCAACTGCAGCCAGGACCAACGTCTGCAGCAGCCCTCTCTCGGTATAGCCGAGTGTGAAGTACAGCTGGCTCTGATGAACTAAGGATTCTGCAGTTGTATATAAATGTTCATGTTAATCAACTAATGATTCCCTAAGGGCTTGTTTGGAATAGTTTTCAAACTGAATTTTCCAGTCAACCTTTGCATGAAGGACATTTTTATTGTAACCAAACTTGTCATAAATGACCAACATCCACAAACTGTTTCAAAAGTAGGATCTGAGCAGTTAATCTGAGTGTGAACAACAAAGCAGTGGTTGTTGCTTGGTATTAAGTCATACTTTCTACAGGAGCTGAATATGTAATTGGGCCCAAAGGAAAAAAAAAAAATTAAAACCAAAAGCTTGCTAGGATCCACGACTGAAAGTCTGTATCATTAAAAATGAATTTTAGGATCCCTTGATAAAGTCATCTAGCCTGCTCCTGTCTACCTACAAAACTGTAACTGCAACAACAGACTTTGCAAATCCATGTGAGCAGTGAAAGAATAATTTAGCAGTTTCAATATGGCTTCTGTGCTTTATCATTTTATTATCATAACCCCATATTCTTGTTGGAAATAAATTCACTTAATAAATGCAATTCACGGCAAATGCATTTATACCCCTTCCACCTTGAAACCACATTGCATTTTACAGGAATTTTAATATTTGATTCTATAAAATAAGGAATCAAAAATTCAGTTAGAAAGACAATTATACAGAGATTATTAGATTTAGTGATTAAAAACTTCCAATATATGGAGGCTTTTTTTGTAAACCTCTCCCTGTATTTCTCTAAATAAAAAATTTTGTACAACCCGTCAACCTCTAAAGCCCAGTACACCTGTCTGTATTTTATAATGCAGCTGTTGAGTTGAGGTTTGAAAATCGGGTTGAGGAACATTAAGGAACAAACAAGGCTGTATCCAAACATCCGCCCTAACCCCTACATCCCTCAATCACTACATAAAGCGGTGCATATATATACGACATTATAGTGAAGTCAGTTTACTCAGTAACATCGCCACCACTGCACGGTGCCTGCGCCATCTTTGTTATTAGTGCACATTGTCGCGCGTCAGCGAGCCACTGTATCAAGTCCTATAATGCTTTTTGGGGAGAGCTCTTTGCGTAAAGCATTGCGAGATATGTCTGCTCATCTAGTGACCATGGATGATCACTGTTACTACCGGATCCGTCCCGAAACCACGATCCTTTCCATCAGCTCATTTGCGCATGCTCAACTAGATATACATCCGGGTTTCCATAAATAATGTAATTATGGTACAGAAATTAGTTATTTCTATCCTTAACTCAATAAAGAATGCTAATACATAATAATATTTGGTACTGAAAAGCTGGTATGGATTGTGCTTCTGGAAGTGACACCACCCTTAAATGACAATAGTTGACATGAACACACATAAATAGGTTCATACCAGCAGAAAAGAATCTTT